CTGTTTTTTGAAACCAGGTTTGCTGTTTATTTGAGCAATATGAGATGGAACGGAGTTCCATGTAATAATGATATTTAGCCTATTGGGAATTTGCATGCACTTTACCACTGTGCACTTAACCACCATGTTAGTTCATCATAACTTATTTCATCTGCCTATTAACTTTTCATGCTTTTCCACTTTGTGGTGGTAGGCCTACAATGTAACATATCATCGTGTGACTCCAAGTTTACTTCAATATGATGGTTATTATATCAATGCACATAAAGGCATTTCCACCTACATTTCTCACATAATTAATTGTACAGAAAAAAATACTTCATCATGTTGATCGAACAAACAAATTGTCTGTCAACATTTATGAAATTGTACCAACATTTCCTGTTTCCATTGCCCTGTATTTGATTAATCAGTTAATTCATCCAGATAAAATGGTTGGATGGAAATGTAGTTACTGGGTTCATAAGGTCATGAAAATCCTGGAAAAGTAATGGCATTTTTAAATGGTGTTTTCCAGGCCTGGAAAAGTTTTGGAAAATGATAAAATCCTAAAAGTTTTGGAAAAGTCGTGGAAATTAATTGAATCATTTATGTTAATTTAATATATTTAGGCACAGTTTTTAAATATTTTATCAATCAAATAAAAATCAACATATCAGCCAGGAACGGAATGACACTTTAGCACATCTGTGTTTGCTTGCATCACCTTCATGTGTGCGAGAGGAGTGGGCCTTTGCTCAAGGAGAGAGAGACAGTCAGACATTACAGCAGCAGGTAAGCCTATAAATATAATAGAGAACAGACTAACTAGATAGCCAATTCATATCATATCTTGTATCTAGTTAACTGTTTAGCTATTATTAGCGTGTATTAATGTTTTTGTCATGTCCCAAAAACCTTCCACCAACACTCGCGAATAAGGTCATACAAAGTTGATTTACTTTGTTGAACAATTCATATAATTCATTTAAACGATTATTTTTGAAGAAACAAATTATTCACTTCGCCATTGTATTAGTTGGGATTCGGCTCAATCACGGTGAATCAAATCAATATGAATCAAAACAAATCATTTGTGAATCGCAAAGAGTAATTTTAGGAAAAAATATTAAATGTAGCCTTTCTTTGGATTATGTGGCTACAAAACTTGTTTTAGAAATACTTCCAGTTGATGTGGGTATCCAATTTATGGGACAAATTATAGGAAGCTTGTGGAAGGCTACCCAAAACATTTGACCCAAATTAAACAATTTAAAGGCAATGCTACCGAATACTAATTGAGTGTATGTAAACTTCTGACCCACTGGGAATGTGATGAAAGAAATAAAAGCTGAAATAAAACACTCTACTATTATTCTGACATTTCACATTCTTAAAATAAAGTGGTGATCCTAACTGACCTAAGACATGGAATTTTTACTAGGATTAAATCGAATCAAATCAAATTTGATTTGCCACATGCGCCGAATACAACAGGTGTAGACATTACAGTGAAATGCTTACTTACAAGCCCTTAACCAACAATGCAATAAAAAAAATTTAACAATAAAAAAGGTGTTAAGTAAAAAGTAAAAAAAATAAAAGCAAACAACAACAGAGCAGCAGTAAAATAAAATTACAGTAGGGAGGCTATATACAGGGGGTACCGGTGCAGAGTCAATGTGCGGGGGCACCGGGTAGTCGAGGTAATTGAGGTAATATGTACATGTGGGTAGAGTTAAAGTGACTATGCATAAATAATAGACAGAGTAGCAGCAGCGTAAAAGAGGTGGGTGGAGGGGCAGTGCAAATAGTCTGGGTAGAAATTATTAGCTGTTCAGGAGTCTTATGGCTTGGGGGTAGAAGCTGTTGAGAAGCTTTTTGGACCTAGACTTGGCGCTCCGGTACCACTTGCCGTGCGGTAGCAGAGAGAACAGTCTATGACTAGGGTGGCTGGAGTCTTTGACAATTTTGAGGGTGTCTCTGACACCGCCTGGTATAGAGGTCCTGGATGGCAGGAAGCTTGGCCCCAGTGATGTACTGGGCCGTACGCACTACCCTCTGTAATGCCTTGCGGTCGGAGGCCGAGCAGTTGCCATACCAGGCGGTGATGCAACCAGTCAGGATGCTCTCGATGGTGCAGCAGTATAACTTTTTGAGGATCTGAGGACCCATGCCAAATCTTTTCAGTCTCCTGAGGGGGAATAGGCTTTGTCGTGCCCTCTTCACGACTGTCTTGTTGTGTTTGGACCATGATAGTTTGTTGGTGATGTGGACACCAAGGAACTTGAAGCTCTCAACCTGTTCCACTACAGCCCCATCGATGAGAATGGGGGTGTGCTCAGTCCTCTTTTTTTCCCTGTAGTTTTTCACAATCATCTCCTTTGTCTTGATCACGTTGAGGGAGAGGTTGTTATCCTGGCACCACACGGCCAGGTCTCGTACCTCCCCCCTATAGGCTGTCTCATCGTTGTCGGTGATCAGGCCTACCACTGTTGTGTCATCAGCAAACTTAATGATGGTGTTGGAGTCATGCCTGGCCATGCAGTCATGGGTGAACAGGGAGTACAGGAGGGGACTGAGCACGCACCCCTGAGGGGCCCCCGTGTTGAGGATCAGCGTGGCAGATGTGTTGTTACCTACCCTTACCACCTGGGGGCGGCCCGTCAGGAAGTCCAGGATCCAGTTGCAGAGGGAGGTGTTTAGTCCCAGGATCCTAAGCTTAGTGATGAGCTTTGAGGGCACTATGGTGTTGAACGCTGAGCTGTAGTCAATGAACAGCATTCTCACGTAGGTGTTCCTCTTGTCCAGGTGGGAAAGGGCAGTGTGGAGTGCAATAGAGATTGCATCATCTGTGGATCTGTTGGGGCGGTATGCAAATTGGAGTGGGTCTAGGGTTTCTGGGATAATGGTGTTGATGTGAGCCATGACCAGCCTTTCAAAGCACTTCATGGCTACAGACGTGAGTGCTACGGGTCGGTAGTCATTTAGGCAGATTATCTTAGTGTCCTTGGGCACAGGGACTATGGTGGTCTGCTTGAAACATGTTGGTATTACAGACTCAGTCAGGGACATGTTGAAAATGTCAGTGAAGACACTTGCCAGTTGGTCAGCACATGCTCGGAGTACACGTCCTGGTAATCCGTCTGGCCCTGCGGCCTTGTGAATGTTGACCTGCTTAAAAGTCTTACTCACATCGGCTACGGAGAGCGTGATCACATAGTCATCTGGAACAGCTGGTGCTCTCATGCATGCTTCAGTGTTGCTTGCCTCGAAGCGAGCATAGAAGTGATTTAGCTCGTCTGGTAGGCTTGTGTCACTGGGCAGCTCGCGGCTGTGCTTCCTTTTGTAGTCTGTAATAGTTTTCAAGCCCTGCCATATCCGACGAGTGTCAGAGCCGGTGTAGTACGATTCAGTCTTAGTCCGGTATTGACTCTTTGCCTGTTTGATGGTTCGTCGGAGGGCATAGCGGGATTTCTTATAAGCGTCCGGGTTAGTCTCGCTCCTTGAAAGCGGCAGCTCTACCCTTTAGCTCAGTGCGGATGTTGCCTGTAATCCATGGCTTCTGGTTGGGGTATGTACGTACGGTCACTGTGGGGACGACGTCATCAATGCTCTTATTGATGAAGCCAGTGACTGATGTGGTGTACTCCTCAATGCTATCTGAAGAATCCCTGAACATATTCCAGTCTGTGCTAGCAAAACAGTCCTGTAGCTTAGCATCTGCATCATCTGACCACTTCTTTATTAACCGAGTCACTGGTGCTTCCTGCTAAATGTCAGGAATTGTGAAAAACTGAGTTTAAATCTATTTGGCTAAGGTGTATGTAAACTTCCGACTTCAACTGTATATATTATTTTCTAAAATCATCTTTGAGAACTAACAATCACCAAAATAAAAGCTAGATAGTCCTGGAAAATCAAAAAATACGCATTCAATAGTATTTTTGGCATGGCATGGGGACCCAATAGACTTTGTTATTATGTTTGAGTCACTCGGATAGCATAAGCCATGGCAAAATGTGTAGAATTGCAGGAAATATTGCTTTAAAACTGCTACATTATGTCATTGCAGCCAACAGGAGAGCCTCTAAAATGTTTGGTTGGTGACCGCACCATTGGCCACACTCATGGCAATGCCCCTGCCACGCCCACCACCTGCCCCATTGAATACCACAGTATGAGTCATAATACCCATAAAACCTAGAGGTCAAACAGGGAAATGTTTCCAATCGTTTTTCCACCATTCATTTTTCCCATTGGGGAATTTAGAAAAACTTAAAATAAGGGTTGTGTTTTGTGTAGGCTTACCCTGGCATGACGTTTTGATAACAATGTAAATCTCTATAGGACAAGGTGACTTTTCTCAATATATTCGCTTAGTTTTGAGATTTGGCCTATATCCCTGTTTTTTAGACCTGCTAGGCTAGCTATAACACCTAAATAATGTAAACCTGATCTGCTGCTATACAGACCCATTGATACAGTATTTGCACTTAGCTCTTTTGTCAGTAATAAACCATTTTTATTTAAAAACGTGAAACTGTTCTGTGCCTCTATAAATGAGGAAAAACCTAAGTACATTCTCCCTATTACACAACCACTGTATCAGAATATTTGGAAACATTTTGCCTAATGAATGTGACCTAGTATTGCGGGGCCTTGCTGTAGGGCTGGGGTCTGATCTGAGTGTGTTGAGTAGTTTGCGTGGAGGCTTGGCCAGCTCCCCTTCAGTGAACTTGTCAGGGCTGAGCAGCTAGCTGTTCCACTAAGGTGATCACACTGTGGAAACTACCCAGCAGCTCCATGTGCATCGGCACCGCCTCTTCTGGACCCCCTGACTGCTGAAAGAGGGGGAGGTACTTGATATTAAGATATTAATGTCCCTTTTAGAAGTCTCGTAAAATAGATTATCTTCATGAGAATGTGAAGGGGAAGGTGAAGGGGAAGAAGAGGCCCAAGCTGAGCTGGCTAAGGTCCTCAGGGAAGCAGCCTAGTATCTTCTCTCTCAGTTCTTGAGCATGGGATTAATTAGCTGCCACACAGGAGGGAAGACGGAGACAGACAAACTTGACCAGGAGGAGACGCGGAGTAGCCAACCACAGGAGAATGGTGGGGAACGCGGGAAAAACCCTCAGGAGAAAGTAACAAAGGAAGCGGAGGAGAAAGCTAAAAGTGAAGGTGAGTTTATAGTTAAGTTCATGTCGTTGGAAATATACCTCATCGACCATGTCCTGTCTGTCACATAGGTTTTGTACCCTTGCTTTAGCCATTATGTTTTGTCTATTACTATGTTGAATGCTGACTCCTTTCTTCCTCTCCCCTGTCCAGAGTGCCTGGGTGTGGACCTGATGGAGCGTCTGTTCCAGGGCCGTCTGGTGTTGAGGACACGCTGTCTGGAGTGTGAGTGTTACGCTGAGAGGAGAGAAGACTTCCAGGACATCAGTGTCCCAGTGCAGGCGGACGAACACTGCAGCCCAGACAGCAGCTCAGAATGTGAGGGGTGTTATTATGTGTACACACTCACACTGTGTTCTTGGTTAATACGGCAATCCTGCAGCCTAGAGACTGTACTTCTGTGAGACCTGCCACCACCACACTGAGGCTGAGAGGAGTCTCCTGTTTGATACAACCCCAGAGGTTGTCACCATCCACCTCAAGTGTTTCTCTGTCCTTTATAATGCCGTCTGTCTCAAGTCTGCTTGGTTTTGCTCTTACTCTAGATACAGTAATGGATACTTTGTCCTCAGTGAGATAAATTATTTCTACAGCCTGTCACTTACATACAACATCAACACACAATCAGATATAATATAACACAGAAACGCAACACCATATTATACAACAGTACTTGGTAAGCAGATCTGACGAAAAAGGAAGGTGTAAGGTTCAGTGTGTGTTTAGATTAGATCAGTGTTTGTTTTACATTTAAGTCATTTAGCAGACGATCTTATCCAGAGCGACTTACAAATTGGTGCATTCAACTTAGGATAGCCAGTGGGACAACCAACACTGGGGGAGGGGGGGTGTAGAAGGATTACTGTTAGACTATTCCAGGTATTCCTTAAAGAGGTAGGGTTTCAAGTGTCTCCGGAAGGTGGTCAGTGACTCCGCTGTCCTGACGTCGTGGGGGAGTTTGTTCCACCATTGGGATGCCAGAGCAGCGAATAGCTTTGACTGGGCTGAGCGGGAACTGTGCTTCCGTAGAGGTAGGGGGGCTAGCAGGCCAGAGATGGATGAACGTAGTGCCCTCGTTTGGGTGTAGGGTCTGATCAGAGCCTGAAGGTAAGGAGGTGCCGTTCCCCTCACAGCTCCGTAGGCAAGCACCATGGTTTTGTAGTAGATGCGAGCTTCAACTGGAAGCCAGTGGAGTGTGCGGAGGAGCGGGGTGACATGAGAGAACTTGAGAAGGTTGAACACCAGACGGGCTGCAGCGTTCTGGATAAGTTGTAGGGGTTTAATGGCACAGGCAGGGAGCCCAGCCAACAGCGAGTTGCAGTAATCCAGACGGGAGATGACAAGTGCCTGGATTAGGACCTGTGCCGCTTTCTGTGTAAGGCAGGGTCGTACTCTGCGAATGTTGTAGAGCATGAACCTGCAGGATCGGGTCACCACTTTGATGTTAGCGGAGAGCGACAGGGTGTTGTCCAGGGTCACGCCAAGGTTCTTTGCACTCTGGGAGGAGGACACAATGGAGTTGTCAACCGTGATGGCGAGATCATGGAGCAGGCAGTCCTTCCCCGGGAGGAAGAGCAGCTCCGTCTTGCCGAGGTTCAGCTTGAGGTGGTGATCCGACATCCACACTGATATGTCTGCCAGACATGCAGAGATGCGATTCACCACCTGGTTATCAGAAGGGGGAAAGGAGAAAATTAATTGTGTGTTGTCTGCGTAGCAATGATAGGAGAGACCATGTGAGGATATGACAGAGCCAAGTGACTTGGTGTATAGAGAGAATAGGAGAGGGCCTAGAACTGAGCCCTGGGGGACACTAGTGGTGAGAGCACGTGGTGCGGAGACAGATTCTCGCCACGCCACCTGGTGGGAGCGACCTGTCAGGTAGGACGCAATCCAAGAGTGAGCAGCGCCGGAGATGCCCAACTCGAAGAGGGTGGAGAGGAGGATCTGATAGTTCACAGTATCAAAGGCAGCAGATAGGTCTAGAAGGATAAGAGCAGAGGAGAGAGAGTTAGCTTTAGCAGTGCGGAGAGCCTCCGTGACACAGAGAAGAGCAGTCTCAGTTGAATGACCAGTCTTGAAACCTGACTGGTTTGGATCAAGAAGGTCATTCTGAGAGAGATAGCAGGAGAGTTGGCTAGAGACGGCACGCTCAAGAGTTTTGGAGAGAAAAGAAAGAAGGGATACTGGTCTGTAGTTGTTGACATCGGAGGGATCGAGTGTAGGTTTTTTGAGGAGGGGTGCAACTCTCGCTTTCTTGAAGACGGAAGGGACATAGCCAGCGGTCAAGGATGAGTTGATGAGCAAGGTCAGGTAAGGGAGAAGATCTCTGGAAATGGTCTGGAGAAGAGAGGAGGGGATAGGGTCAAGCGGGCAGGTTGTTGGGCGGCCGGCCGTCACAAGTCGCAAGATTTCATCTGGAGAGAGAGGGGAGAAAGAAGTCATTTGACTTAATAAATGAGGATCGGATGTCGTTAACCTTCTTTTCAAAATGGTTGACGAAGTCATCCACAGAGGGGGAGGGGGAGGAGGAGGAGGATTCAGCAGGGAGGAGAAGGTGGCAAAGAGCTTCCTAGGGTTAGAGGCAGAGGCTTGACATTTAGAGTGGTAGAGAGTGGCTTTAGCAGCAGAAACAGAGGAAGAACATTTTGAGAGGAGGGAGTGAAAAGATGACAGGTCCGCAGGGAGTCTAGTTTTGCTCCATTTCCGTTCGGCTGCCCGGAGCCCTGTTCTGTGAGCTCGCAATGAGTCGTCAAGCCACGGAGCAGGAGGGGAGGACCGAGCCGGCCGGGAGGATAGGGGACATAGAGAGTCAAAAGATGCAGAAAGGGAGGAGAGGAGGGTTGAGGAGGCAGCATCAGGAGATCGGAGGGAGAAGGATTTAGCAGAGGGAAGAGATGATAGGATGGAAGAGGAGAGAGTAGCGGGAGAGAGAGAGCGAAGGTTGCGACGGCACATTACCATCTGAGTAGGGGCAGAGTGAGTAGTGTTGGAGGAGAGAGAGAGAAAAGTATACAAAGTAGTGGTTGGAGACTTGGAGGGGAGTTGCAGTGAGATTAGTAGAAGAACAGCATCTAGTAAAGATGAGGTCAAGCGTATTGCCTGCCTTGTGAGTAGGGGGGGACGGTGAGAGGGTGAGGTCAAAAGAGGAAAGGAGTGGAAAGAAGGAGGCAGAGAGAAATGAGTCAAAGGCAGACGTAGGGAGGTTGAAGTCACCCAGAACTGTGAGGGGTGAGCCATCCTCAGGAAAGGAATTTATCAAGGCGTCAAGCTCATTGATGAACTCTCCAAGGGAACCTGGAGGGCGATAAATGATAAGGATGTTAAGCTTGAATGGGTTAGTGACTGTGACAGCATGGAATTCAAATGAGGAGATAGACAGATGGGTCAGGGGGAAAAGTGAGAATGTCCACTTGGGAGAGATGAGAATTCCTGTGCCACCGCTGCGCTGACCAGATGCTCTCGGGGTATGCGAGAACACATGATCAGATGAGGAAAGAGCAGTAGGAGTAGCAGTGCTTTCTGTGGTAATCCATGTTTCCGTCAGCACCAAGAAGTCGAGGGACTGGAGGGTAGCATAGGCTGAGATGAACTCTGCCTTGTTGGCCGCAGAACGGCAGTTCCAGAGGCTGCCTGAGACCTGGAACTCCACGTGGGTCGTGCGCACAGGGACCAGATTAGAGTGGCAGCAGCCACGCGGTGTGAAGCGTTTGTATGGCCTGTGCAGAGAGGAGAGAACAGGGATAGACAGACACATAGTTGACAGGCTTCAGAAAAGGCTACAATAATGCAAAATAGATCAGAATAAAATTAACTAAACATCTGGGGAAGCGAGAGAGCGGGGCCTCCCTCACTTACCTTTCACTGAAACACTCAAATATAACTCTCCCAACTTCCACTTTAGAAATTATAATTGTTGTAAACTACAGCGGTTCAATGTTTCTAGGAATAGACTCTAACTTAATTTATTCAGCTAGCTAACTTGGTAGAGTATTCTTCCGTGAAAACCGCCCAGGGCACCGTATCCTATGACGCCATAGCTAACTAGCATGCTAGCATCCAATAACACACAGTTTAGCACCAATACTTGGTTACAACAAACTACTACTGTTTAGTGTGTTAACACACTAAACAGATAATTCGTGACCGTGTCTAGTTCTTTGTAACCTCTGTCTCAAGCTAGTCAGCATGTGTAAACTGACTCTCTCTCTCTCTCTCTCTGTGTTGTTCAGGATGGACCCGTATGCTGGCCTCTCAAAGGTGAATACCCCCCTACAGACCCCTTTGAAGCGCTCTCTGGAGGAGTGGTGCATGCACCCCTCAGCCACTGGAGGGCAGCATTACCAGCTGTTTGCTGTGGTCACGCACAGCGGTGACACCATCTCCAGCGGACACTACACCACCTACATCAGGATGATGGACCTCAAGGACACCAAGGTCCGCCTGCTTGAGGGGGATGAGAAGCATGGAGGAGAGGAAGAGGAGGAGTGTGGTGGAAATTGCATGGTCCGCAACCCAAGGAAGAGGTGTTGGATTATGATGACGGGGAAGTGTCTTTTAGTCTCAGTGGTAAAAGACAAAATGGTGCTGCTAACGCCAACTCTGCTAGCATCACAATAACCAGCAAGCTGGGGGCCAAGAAGGCTTCAGAGGGGGTGGGACTCCTGGGGGGCCAGAGCAGCCTTTCTATCTACGACCTTGGGGGCAACAAGCAGACAGCCAACTCAGACAAGGCTGCCTCTACTGGGACAGAGAACACAACCACCAGATTATCCAGACGGACTTCCAGTGCCCCGGGACACAGCAGTAGTGGAGGGATAAAGGAGGAGGCTGAGGAGATCCTTGTGACTGGGTGTGAGGGTGCTGGAGGTGGGGTGGCTACGGAGCAGGCCCTTAGCAGCCTTCTGCAGTATGAAGGGAAGTGGATGCTCTTTGATGACTCTGAGGTACGTCTTTTTGAGGAGGAGGACTTCCTGAGAGCCTTCTCTACTTCTACTCCATACCGGTTATTTTAGGGGGTCTCTGACCAGTGACACCACTTTGTTTGCGGGTGATCAAACAAAGTATTTTCCTCGATTCCTCAAGTCCTCTTTCCTCAGCTCTTTCTCAAATGTCAGAAGGAAGTGAGGAGAGCTTTGGAAAAGGTCTCCCGATATTTTGAGAGAAGGGGAATCATCTTGAAATGCAGCCTGGTTGACATGCTGGTACTCCTTCTGTCACTGATGTTTATAACCTGTTTATGGTCCCTTTAAACGTTCCTTAACGTTCCAAGAGACATGCAACTTAGCACTTATGACAGTGCAGTTTTGGTTTCAGATACAAAAAATTATAAAGAGCACATTTATTATTGTGTTTTCCCTAAGCGCCGGCCGTCAGCTAAACAGCCGGTAAGATTTATTTTAACGGTTCAATTTGCTAGTCAGAAATGTTCATAGAGCCCTCTGGCTATAATGAACAATATGCATCTTCTAGCGATCTATTGATAGGTCAGTCCCAAAGCGAGCGTCGATAGGGAAACACTTCTGGTTTGACAGTCTGCTGTCTGTCCCACCTCCCCGTACCTGTATGATTAGTGTGTGCTGTGGATCGGTTGCAGTCAAATTTCTTTATACAGTGGAGGGAGAGAGCGTTGTGCCAGTAACCGAAAGGTCGCTGGTTCTAATCCCTGAGCCGACTAGGTGAAAAATCTGTTGATGTGCCCTTAAGCAAGGCACTTAACCCTAATTGCTCCTGTAAGTCGCTCTGGATAAGAGCGTCTGCTAAAAAATGTAAAAATGTAAAAAATGTAAAAAATCATCTCTGTGAGTGAATTTGCACATCCCATGTAATGTGTGGAAATGATGAGTCGAAATCCATTTCACTTATTGTTTGCTGGCACATTCATTTATTTTCTTTCAGGTGTTTCCTATAGCCATGCGCCAGCCACGGTTGTGTGGTGCATAGGCTATTTACTGTGCTTTGATTGACGACCAAATAGCAAGTGTTGACTAGTTTATGAAAGATATTGAACTGACTGAATAAACAGTGGCATGTATTCAAGGATGCCAAGGGAAGCCAGACTTCCCCCAAAAACTGACCAAGAAAAAAATGTAACATACAAAATAATGTATCTTTAGTCTGTGTTTAATAAATGTACTTCAATTCGCAAGAGGCTGAATGCATTTCACCAGAGAAAGCATTAGAGAGAACGAAACAGAGCCCCTCTGTCTCAGTATATGTAGCGTATCTATCTGATGATGTCTGGTCAGAAAGAGTATGACATTGTTGCCGCCCGTAGCATTGAATGCAAGGGAAGCCAGTGAGCATTTGGCCTCCCGTGCTAAAAAATATATATGAAATAATAGCCAATCAGCATTGAGCTAAACTGAGTGAGCTCAGCTGTGAATGGTCCTGGTGCACCAAAAAAAAGTGTCAAGGGAAGCCAGTTTGGATTTGGCCAAACGTCATTATTGACAGAAAAAAACTTTGTAAGTGTTGCATCTCGTTGTACTTCGGTGGCTAGCTAGCTAGCTAGCCTTTTCCTAAATTAGCCATGGATGGAAATATGGATTTGGACTTGTGGTTTTACTTAATTCTCCGTACTGGCCAATGATTATAACAGTGATTCTGATCCAACCATAAATTAATACATTGTGCCCCTGGCCTGAGAGGATGGAAGTTCAAAATGTAGCTACAGTGGGGAAAAAATGTATTTAGTCAGCCACCAATTGTGCAAGTTCTCCCACTTAAAAAGATGAGAGGCCTGTAATTTTCATCATAGGTACACATCAACTATGACAGAGAAATTGAGAAAAAAAAATCCAGAAAATCACATTGTAGGATTTTTTATGAATTTATTTGCAAATTATGGTGGAAAATAAGTATTTGGTCACCTACAAACAAGCAAGATTTCTGGCTCTCACAGACCTGTAACTTCTTCTTTAAGAGGCTCCTATGTCCTCCACTCATTACCTGTATTAATGGCACCTGTTTGAACTTGTTATTAGTATAAAAGACACCTGTCCACAACCTCAAACAGTCACACTCCAAACTCCACTATGGCCAAGACCAAAGAGCTGTCAAAGGACACCAGAAACAAAATTGTAGACCTGCACCAGGCTGGGAAGACTGAATCTGCAATAGGTAAGCAGCTTGTTTTGAAGAAATCAACTGTGGGAGCAATTATTAGGAAATGGAAGACATACAAGACCACTGATAATCTCCCTCAATCTGGGGCTCCACGCAAGATCTCACCCTGTGGGGTCAAAATGATCACAAGAACGGTGAGCAAAAATCCCAGAACCACACGGGGGGACCTAGTGAATAACCTGCAGAGAGCTGGGACCAAAGTAACAAAGCCTACCATCAGTAACACACTACGCCGCCAGGGACTGAAATCCTGCAGTGCCAGACGTGTCCCCCTGCTTAAGCCAGTACATGTCCAGGCCCGTCTGAAGTTTGCTAGAGTGCATTTGGATGATCCAGAAGAGGATTGGGAGAATGTCATATGGTCAGATGAAACCAAAATAGAACTTTTTGGTAAAGACTCAACTCGTAGTGTTTGGAGGACAAAGAATGCTGAGTTGCATCCAAAGAACACCATACCTACTGTGAAGCATGGGGGTGGAAACATCATGCTTTGGGGCTGTTTTCTGCAAAGGGACCAGGACGACTGATCCGTGTAAAGGAAAGAATGAATGGGGCCATGTATCGTGAGATTTTGAGTGAAAACCTCCTTCCATCAGCAAGGGCATTGAAGATGAAACGTAGCTGGGTCTTTCAGCATGACAATGATCCCAAACACACCGCCCGGGCAACGAAGGAGTGGCTTTGTAAGAAGCATTTCAAGGTCCTGGAGTGGCCTAGCCAGTCTCCAGATCTCAACCCCATAGAAAATCTTTGGAGGGAGTTGAAAGTCCGTGTTGCCCAGCGACAGCCCCAAAACATCACTGCTCTAGAGGAGATCTGCATGGAGGAATGGGCGAAAATACCAGCAACAGTGTGTGAAAACCTTGTGAAGACTTACAGAAAACGTTTGACCTGTGTCATTGCCAACAAAGGGTATATAACAAAGTATTGAGAAACTTTTGTTATTGACCAAATACTTATTTTCCACCATCATTTGCAAATAAATTCATTAAAAATCCTACAATGTGATTTTCTGGATTTTCTGTTCTCATTTTGTCTGTCATAGTTGACGTGTACCTATGATGAAAATTACAGGCCTCTCTCATATTTTTAAGTGGGAGAACTTGCACAATTGGTGGATAACCTGCAGAGAGCTGGGACCAAAGTAACAAAGCCTACCATCAGTAACACACTACGCCGCCAGGGACTGAAATCCTGCAGTGCCAGACGTGTCCCCCTGCTTAAGCCAGTACATGTCCAGGCCCGTCTGAAGTTTGCTAGAGTGCATTTGGATGATCCAGAAGAGGATTGGGAGAATGTCATATGGTCAGATGAAACCAAAATAGAACTTTTTGGTAAAAACTCAACTCGTAGTGTTTGGAGGACAAAGAATGCTGAGTTGCATCCAAAGAACACCATACCTACTGTGAAGCATGGGGGTGGAAACATCATGCTTTGGGGCTGTTTTCTGCAAAGGGACCAGGACGACTGATCCGTGTAAAGGAAAGAATGAATGGGGCCATGTATCGTGAGATTTTGAGTGAAAACCTCCTTCCATCAGCAAGGGCATTGAAGATGAAACGTAGCTGGGTCTTTCAGCATGACAATGATCCCAAACACACCGCCCGGGCAACGAAGGAGTGGCTTTGTAAGAAGCATTTCAAGGTCCTGGAGTGGCCTAGCCAGTCTCCAGATCTCAACCCCATAGAAAATCTTTGGAGGGAGTTGAAAGTCCGTGTTGCCCAGCGACAGCCCCAAAACATCACTGCTCTAGAGGAGATCTGCATGGAGGAATGGGCGAAAATACCAGCAACAGTGTGTGAAAACCTTGTGAAGACTTACAGAAAACGTTTGACCTGTGTCATTGCCAACAAAGGGTATATAACAAAGTATTGAGAAACTTTTGTTATTGACCAAATACTTATTTTCCACCATCATTTGCAAATAAATTCATTAAAAATCCTACAATGTGATTTTCTGGATTTTCTGTTCTCATTTTGTCTGTCATAGTTGACGTGTACCTATGATGAAAATTACAGGCCTCTCTCATATTTTTAAGTGGGAGAACTTGCACAATTGGTGGCTGACTAAATACTTTTTTCCCCCCACTGTAGCTGTGGGAGGTAGTTTGGTGGCATCGGTGCTGACTTTTTTTTTTTTATATCGGTCCGCTAATACAGAACTAGTAAAGGCTCAGTGCACTACTTTAGTGAAAAAATATTTTTTTCTGTATTTTTGGGTTGTAATATATATATATATATATATTATTCTCACCCTCAGCAGCCCTACTTCCCGCGGCTATGCATGTAAACAGGATTATTAGGGGTATCGTTCTTCTTGCAAAGCATGTAAACATTTGAATCAAACTATTATGTTAATCTGACTACCCACAATAATTGTGTGCATGTAACCATACTCAGTGTAACCCACCGAATCGCATCGGTGAGAGCCGTTCATTTGGCTCTACTGGTACGCTTTTTGGCGGTTAAGCTGCAGATAAATTATGAAAGCATTCAATGAAGATGGTGAATCCTCACAATAGGTAGTGGAGAGAGAGACTCATTCAGGTCCAAATATGATACTTTTTTATTAATTTCTGCGAAATCAGAAATATATAATACTTATGTTTTATTTTTTCAATGTAACCTTTTTTTCAAGATCTGCCTTATTTACTAAATGTTTCTGTTTTAAAAACCTCTTAGATGTAAGGTCCCCTGTTTTGGGGACCTGCGTGGTACCGGTTCCGACCGACATTTTCACTTATAAATCGATCTGTGGACACCGTAGATCGAAATGGCTTGGATTGAGCGATAGCCCTGGTTCCCACGGACACAGTAATTCATATCTTGCAGTAAAACTGCATTCAAGACTTTAAACCTGTCTTTTCATATAGGCCTAGACAACATTCAAAAGAACTAACAATACACTGAATTCGTATACATTTTCAGTAATTTAAATTGTAAAGTCATGTCATGCCTTCTATATGCAGGAGAGAAATGTCTATTGATTAGTTGAAATACTGTTGGACCGTCAGAAATTAGCTGCTCAGTTTTTGTCCATAATGTTTAAGTTCAGTTAGATACAGATAAGCTGGCCGTCTCGGTCTAGTTCTTATAATATAATAATATGCCATTTAGCAGACGCTTTTATCCAAAGCGACTTACAGTCGTGTGTGCATACATTTTTACGTATGGGTGGTCCCGGGGATCGAACCCACTACCCTGGCGTTACAAACGCCATGCTCTACCAATTGAGCTACAGAGGAATAACTTTTGCACTTTTCTTGGTCGATTTATTATTTTATACAAAGTTGTATAAATAAATTCAAGCAGTCAATAAATACCTAGCCAATAAGATAGCCAATCACTTTACAAAATGCCAGTACAACATCGCATTGCTGTTAGTTTCAGGTTTGGTATGTATGGAGGGGGAAGAAGACTCCATGTTTTAGCATCAGGGATGAATGTATTGGTTGTTTTCTTCTGACGTTGTACAGTTCTGTTCAACAGCAGTGCCTCATTCCAGTTAAACAAGCTCTGGTCCTATGAAAGATCATATCTAGAATGATAAGTTACAATTTTATTGCTTATAGTAAGTTATGTACAACAATTTCTATTAATCCTTTCCCTGCTGTCAAAAAGATTATATTCTAAAAGATTTAAAAGAAATGGTTTGGGTTTTAAACCAGAGTAGTTTGGGTTTTCAACCAGAGTATTGAATAATTCACACTTACTTTCTACTTCTCTCTCCTGCTATCATTTGTAGATTATCTTGTACATTTAATAAAACACCAGCATATGCAAAGCTCTTTCTTTGTGTTGGCCCAAGAGTTCTTCAAGATTGTCTTTTTCATCTTCAAAGAACAGTTTGGACATTAAAATATTTATTTAGTAAAATATTTAAAGTGAACAAAAAATACATAACTATTCAATGTCAATGTTTAAAACATTTCCCTAACCCCCCAAAAAATGTAGCTTAACAAAAAATTATAAAGCATTATGAAAGTGTTCGTACATATTTATTTTACTTTTTTTATTAAATATTAAACTTTCAAGTCGTAAAATGCATTGATACACAGCAACTAAAAAAGAGTGCACACATGAATAGATTTGACATTATACGTAGTAAGATCCACTTTGTTAAACCCACTGATTGCATAACAGGCTGCCTGTAAACAAATAAGACACTGGAACGACGTACCGAACTTGTGGTAACGCTTCTTTAGCTTTCCTTCTGCTCGCTATGGGGAACGCTGACTCTTTACACATGAATAAATTAAGGTTGTGATTCTTAATTTTTTTCTTTATCTTCAAAGTTCAAGCTTGCGGAGACTCATTCTGCTGAAGGAATCCCTGTGGAAAAAAGAACACAGAATGCAAAGTCAGTGAATTATGGGGAAGCCAAGACATACCAGATTGGACATGCATATAACCTTACACCCAGTAGAGACTCAGTGCAGACAGTTTTACAGAGGTGGTTCCAATCACAGAATACCAAACTACCTGGTCAAGCTTTACGTTTGTTACCTTTAACAGAAGCGAAAGCAGGAAATCATATTTATGTGGGGGGGAATGCATGAACAGTCAGACAAAACATGAGCAATGAGTATTTCATACATCCAAATGCATATCATAAACACTCCAAAGAAAGAGTGGAGCCGCAAACATTAGAAACGGTTCCTCCGTCTCAGAAAAAATGCGTTGCCGTAGTTGCATGTGATGCACGTAGTTGCACGTGATATAACGCTACTTGTTAGCTTTTCCCATCAGATAAACTGCCATACTTATCCCTATGCTAACACCACCAGCTGGACATCATTATTTCCTGTGACAAATTCTGTATTAGCCAATTAAAAATGTTGACGTGACCAAACGCTTTTTTCCATGAGAGCGTCCTTAACCGAAGTCACAGAGCACCATCTGCCTAATCAAAGTTAGTAAAACATGCACAAAAGTTCAGTTGGACAGATAGCTCACAGTAATGCGAGTCAGGCTTCAAATTGTTTTTTCCTTTGAAATGTAGAACTACATTTATTGTGATAGTGTGTTGCGAAGTGTGCAGCCAAAACCATGTAAATGAAGATTACAAATATATCTAATGTGGAGCTTCTTGAAGTCCCTCTCACAGACCGACCCCTAGGCTACTTCTATACAGGACTGTAGATCAGCCAGGACGCACCGGAGCGATGCTTCGTCACTTCTCAGAATGGTTTTTGTTTAATAAAGTTTACAATCAAAGCTGAATCAATGTCTCGCAAGATCACTTAATGATTCATCAGTATTCTAGGCCCAACATACCGAATATAATAGCATAGTTTAATGGAACTGTCTGACCAAAAACACCACTTCATTTCTTATGTAGGCTACACTTACATGTATATGGTTGTTTTGTCTGTCTACTTGGCATTGTTTAGTAGGCCTAATTTGTCTGCCAGTATAATTATTCCATTGCTGACGACGTCTGTCGTTATATCGTGATCCAAGCCCATGCTTGCTATTATTATTATTTATTCTGCCCCAGGCATGTTTACAGAGCGACAGATCAATAGAAAATACAATTACAAATGTCGTTTATTTTGATTATACAAATGTTGTGGCATAAGTGTCAGGAGAGAAACGTTTTGCTCCTCTCAAAAGTGAAACAATATATGTGGCAAGAGAATTAGCCTACCTACCTAAATCTGTCTGGAATAAATGCAGGCAGTAGTAGCCAGCCATACCAGCCATACATTAGGCTATTTATTAGCCTATCTCGTTGATCATTGAATAGGACTAAGTAAGTAAATCATGTGCATTTTCATCTGTCGGGGTCGTTTAACAATGTGGGGGAATGAGTGAAGGAACATAATGATGTGATAGCGCAGTAATGTGCACTTGAGGTTTAGGCTTCACCAGCATTTAAAGAGCACGTCCGGGTTTTCCAATCACGATTAAATCCAATTACACGTATCAAGTGTGATTAAACGGATACGATTACGAGTATGACGAGATCAGCACACCCCTATTTTAAAGTTAAACTGTTTCTAATGTTCGCAAGTCTGGCCCCAGTATGTTCCTGCTTGTCAACACACACACCTGTGAGAGTTGACCTGCAGCACAGGTTTATAAAGCTGGGGTATCTTTCTGCAGATGAGTGGCTGTAGCGCCTCCTTCAGGCGATGGTAGTTCCTCTCCAACTCCCTCTGGTACTCCTTCTGGTCTGGACCAATCAGACGCTTGTTCTTACGGAGGGCGTCTTCACACCTGGATGGAGGAGAATAGGACAGGTGTGAGTAGAGCACTAGACTTCAATATTGTTTTGCATACAGCACGGGGAATTGGAGTCTATAAACTTGATTTACAAACAACAGTACTTTGAATTGAATAAACTTTATTGACCTCTAGAGGGGAAATTGGTACTTTTGTAATTGACCTCTTAGTGAAGTCTTTGAAGCAGAGGCGTAGTTTGTTGTGGTGTCTGTAGAGTTTAGGATCACCGGGGATCTCTGACAGGAACACCTGGGCCACTTCCAGAGGTCCCTGGTTGACAGTGGTCCCTACAGACCCCTGCAGGACCATCTGCAGCATCTTGGCATCAGAGGGGTCCTGGTGGGTGGCGAAGGCCAGCTCCTGGGTCTTCTTCTGCATGTCCTCTATGGCCACCTCCACGGGAATGGAAATGATCTAACAGGACCAGAGAGACAGGAAAAGACGATCAGATGATAAGATGGAGAAAGCACTGATTCAATATTTAAAATAAATAGACAGAGGTATATGCCTGTTTTTCATACGAATGCGTGTCAGTAAGTATATTCCTGTAATGATGTGGATTTAATAATAATAATAATAATAATAATAATAATAATATGCCATTTAGCAGACGCTTTTATCCAAAGCGACTTACAGTCATGCGTGCATCCATTTTTGTGTATGGTTGGTCCCGGGGATCGAACCCACTACCTTGGCGTTTCAAGCGCCGTGCTCTACCAGCTGAGCTACAGAGGATTTCATGTAACAGTAGCATGTGGTGCATGGTGTCAGATGAAGTGTATCACCTCTTCTTTGTGGATGATGTTGATACGTGTCTTGATGTAGGGGAAGGCGTGGGAGGTGGTCAGGATGGTTTTGCGCTTGAACTGATCGTGCAGATCCCCGTGCGCCCGCCCGTCCAGCGTGAACGGCGTGCAGTAGACAAACCGCCGCAGGTTGTAGTTCTTGTCGAAGTACGTGATGCGGTCCTTCATTTCATAGGTGTCAAAGTACGGCTCCACGTACGTGATCTGGACATAAGCCTGGGACACAGTAAAGATACACAGTGACACCTGGTTAACATGATGTTTTACCAACATTAAACCAAAATACACAAATAACCAATTAATAACCAATAGCCTTCAAATAATCAAAAAGGCAATTTACTTGACCATGCTTTGATTAAGTGATTATTTTGGAATCCCGTCTTTATCCACAAACCCTCTCCCCCACCCCACACACACACACACACCTTATTTGGGTCCAGTTTGCACTTGTCCACTGGATTGGAGTCCTTAATGACTTCCACCTGGTCTTCTCCATAGCGCTCACCATAAAACCCCTAAGAGATCAAACACACAGGACACACTCAGTGCTCCAGCTCTCTCACACAGTAGACAGAGACCATTTCACAAATAGAGAAGAGACCATTCCTTAAAAGGAAAAATCCACTCAAAAACAATATTTTGGTATTTCTTTCATTAGTCCACTGTCGATACGGTCCCAGAATGTAATGTAGCAAGTGACACTTTGCTTCTTGAAGGTCATATATCTTGAAAACTTGACTGCTGACATGCTAAACATTTTGGGACTGTTATCAACAGTGGACTAATGAAAAAATACCAAAATATAGTTTGAGACACACTCCTCCAAACTGCCATTTACCTCGAGTCGGTGTGAGATCTCTGCTAGCTTGGTGATGGCAGGCTCTTTGTACACAAACTCCTGCTCATCCAAGTCTCCGAATTTAGAGCCGTAAAATCCGACTCTGAAGTAAGTACCAAACATTCTCTTCCAATCCTGTGAGACAGAAAACATGTTTTACGTGTGCAAATGTTAAATATAAGCGCACGCATGTTACTTGAACAAAAACATGTTGCTTTTACACAGAATGTCGTCAGAAGTGTAAGAATAAAGCACGGTAGTAACCCCGTGCTGACAGAGTCTGATTATGTCTGAGCCAGACTATTGATACATTAGCTGAATTCCATCCAACTCAGTGAAACCGTGAAGTTCAAGTTCTCTCATCATCAGCAAACACTTCAATTGCAACACCAAATATAAACACAGACGGCCTTCAGCATAATAGATACCGTTATTATTATTTCGATTTACACAGCCTTGGCAGGTGGCCTCCTGTAGCTCAATTGGTAGAGCATGGCGCTTGAAACGCCAGGGTTGTGGGTTCGATTCCCACGGGGGGGCAGTATGAAAAAAATTGATGCAAAAAATGTATGCACTCACTAACTGTAAGTCGCTCTGGATAAGAGCGTCTGCTAAATGACTAAAATGTAAAATGTAATATACAGGTATACAGAGTGAAATACATTGCATATTTTATTGTGATCAGTTACTCTGCCATTTGGCTCAGTGGTTGTTTGTCAGTGGTTCATTGCATTACATTCCCCTTTAAAAAGTAACAGAAATAAAGTAACCCTCAAACTAGGAACTTACCGCAACACACAATGAGTCAAGTGGGAAGGAAGGGTCGGCACGGCAACCGGGGAAATCAAAAAGGAGGAAACAAGAACACATTTTAAATCAGGTACTTCACTAGAGAAACTAAACAAAAACAACACAACAAAAACACAAGAGCAACACAAACCAAGGCAAATAGAATAGAATAGACAGCAACCACCAAAACATAGCATTCCTTTTGACTTAAAGAACACACAACATGCAGAGGAAGAGAGTGAAGTAAAGGGAGGTGAAAGAGGAGAGGGAAAGAAAGGAGGCCATAAAAGAGAATGCAGTCATGGTGGTGATTGAGTTCCACAGCCCCTGGAAACATTCAGGGGGCTGTCCTCCCAGTCCTTTAGTTTCCTCTGGAGAATGAGGAGGCGTGCTCTGTCCTTGTCATGCAACACACCAGGTTAATACCAGTTAACACAAAAACAGCAGTATGAATGAAGGAACTCAGGGGTCGATTTAGTTTGTCTATTTCAAATAAAAAGGGAGAAAATTTTACTTTGAGGTGGGACAAATCGAGGTGGGACAAATCTAACAATCCAGTCCAAAATCCTTTGACTTGAACCCTCTTGAAATTCAAAATGTCTTAAATAAATGTGGATCCAGTTGGAACTGCATACGGCAAACCCAAGTTTGCAATAGTTTGTGCTTAATTTGTATGTCAGAGCATTCTATTACAAAAGGCCTCTGGTTTGTGGGAGTGTGTACTGAGAGAACAACATGAGGAGTGTATCCTTTGCATGAATATCGAACTAAAATCGAACCCTGCGGCTGTAGATGAGATGAGTTGTGACAACAGGCGAGCGAGCAGCAGACCAGATGTTGATGCCCGACCAGACCAGACAGTTTGTTGTTGATGAGAGACGGTCTGACAAGGCAGTGTGAAGCTTGCCATTAGTGTCACACTGGGGCTCCCATGCATGGCCTGCCAAAACGCTCACGTTAAAACAACCTCTTCCACAGACAGAGGAAAATAAGGAAGAGGAGGGTTGCTGCCCGTAACATGGCACCAGCAGTCCCACAGTTGGTTGGAGGGACAGACGGACAGCACCCAGTCTAGGTAGATGTTAACAGATCGTACAGTATAATGTAACACAGAAGCAGAGAGCAACACAACGTCCCCATGGCTAGCAAATAATAAAGTAGAGACAGAACGTAAATGAGTAGGCCAAGCAGGAACCATTAGGACCTACCTCCCAGCCAGTGCTCTGTGGTGACAAAGAAAATACAATATAAATATGTTTACAGTCACGTTGGTACACTGCAGTGACTGTCGGTCTGAGAGTGTACATATTTAGCATGCTCTTTCCTGCATGCCTCCCACAGACAATAGGGCATTGCACTGGTGGGTCCTTGCACCTAACACACACAGTACCTGTTTCTCGGTCTCAGAATCACAGACATACACACGTAACATCCACAGACAGGCAGTCCTACACGACCTCCACACTGAGGTAGGGCACAAAACAGTGTCTGTTGGGCACGTAACAGTCCTGTCTGTTCTCTATACCTACAGTATGTACAGGGCAAGAGATAGATCAAGCATTTACCTGGTGCACGATTTTGCCAAAGGCTTCCTGTAGTTTACCATGTACGGTGGCCAGCTTCTTGGCGTCCCGGTTGGCCTCGTGGATGGGGATCAGGACCTTGTACACCTCGTTCACCGCCTCGTACATACCAGCCTGGGAAAAGGTATTGAAAGTATTGAGGTGCGCTTGATTTAGCTTGGGGCTTGCATTGGTTCCGCTATACCGGACAAAAACAATCAAGTGCATCTCAAGTATTTGACGTAAGTATTTGACCCAGGTCTGGTAATGTGAAGTATTTATTCCTATGAGTGGTTAGATTAAGCCTTGACAACGCTCCGTGTGTCGTAGGTAAACCAGCTGTGGACTGTCTCTGGTGTATCATAAGTACAGTAGTTCTTTCTTTGAGTCTCACCATGGAGAAGGAGGAAGCAGCCTGACCCAGCAGCTCCACTAGGCCAGCCTCAGTGAAGTATTTCCCCGAGCAGATACCCTCCTCATCGGGAGACACCACATCGTCAGACACGGCAGACTCCTCCAGCACGTTGGAAGAGATGTTCTGAAACAGAGAGACGAGTCACACGTGGTCACTCATTATTTACAGACGGACATAACACTGTAATGGGTTCATCATGGTATTCATTTTCTTTACAACATGTATATTCAATTCAGTTGATTAGTTGAGTCAGTTGTGATGGCACTAAGCTAGGATAAAACCTGTAGTACCATGTCTCCCCAGGAGTAGGATTAAGGATGACTGCTTGGTCCAAACAAGGTAGTCAAATCTACAGTCCTAAAATAGTCATTTTCCTCACCTGGAAGGTGACACAGCCGACCGGCAGGTACTTGCGGTCCTCCAGCATGCTGAGGTATTCTGCCACCAGGGCGGCGCTGTGCACTAGACACTGGGCTGCCTCCGCGTGATTGGTCCTCTCAGAGTGTTTACCCGCCATGTTCTGCATCCACGTCAGACGCAGGTCTGGAGACGTCTGGTAACCCTTAGCGATCCTGGACACAGCAACACGTTGAAGGATAGCTCAGTGTGTGTGTGTGTGTGTGTGTGTGTGTTCCATACCTGTACATGAGGTCTATGAGCATCTCTGGGTCCTCCTGGTGCTCCTTCATCTTGACTGTATCAGACAGGATCATGTGCAGGTTGAACACCAGGTCCTGGACCTGAAATACATAGATAGAGATATGAAGCATGGTTAATAAGGTGACAGCATCATCTCACATGATTGGACAAGGTATTCCCTCTCCGATTAGCCATTTTCTGAAAGTCTGATTACATTTTAATCGTTTTTTATTTATTTATTGTGTTGTATACTGAAGTACTTTTATATATTGAACAAGTAGTTCCACTGCTTTGTACTACAATAACTAAAAGGGTTAATGTCAGTACTAATCTATTGATATCCAGCATGTCTGCTGTGGTTACCTGGTCAGGGAAGGTGGTCTCCCGGAGTTCCAGGTCTTCCTCTCCGTAGGTCAGGATGGTCTTCAGGGAACGTCGGAGGAATTCCTCGTTGAAGTTCTGAGACGTTCCCACCAGGGAGGACAGGGACATGGTCGCCTGCATCTTCACCCGGGCAAAATTCTACAAAAGGAGCACGGACGGTTAAGAGAAACAGTGAAAACATAAAACACTTAAATGTACATGAACCTGTCCTGAAAAGAAGGAACATATGTTGCATGTGGAGTATGTACAAGATATGCAATCATTCTCCTGTGTTTCAATCGATAATGACTAAATAACCCCTAAAGGGATCAATAGTTTAATAAAAAATGGGTATGTAGCTGGCAAGTAGACAGTACTCTATGTATCCGTGTTTGCTGTGCGTTGTCCTGACGTTGTACTCACGTTGCCAATCTCAAAGTTCTGCCTCATGAGCAGGTATAGAGAAGCGGAGGCATGGGATCTGATGGTGCCAATACTACTGCTACAGTTCCTCAGTAGACGCAGACACAGGTCAGCACACTGCTCTGTCTCCTCCTCAAACAACAGCTCTGGGAACTACACGCACACACACACACACACACACAGACACACAGACACACAGACACACAGACACACAGACACACAGACACACAGACACACAGACACACAGACACACACAGACACACACAGACACACACAGACACACACACACACACAGACACACAGACACACAGACACACACACACACAGACACACAGACACACAGACACACAGACACACAGACAGAGAAATGTACATAAGTATGAAACAGGAGACACACAGAGATATAAACAGACAATACAATTACAGTATGCAGACATTTTACCAATAGATTTCACTAAATCTCTTAAAAGTGCAACCCCTCTTCCTGTCTACATGATTGTAGACAGGAACTCAATTCTGACCTTGGAGACGAGAGCTCTCTGTGTAGCGAAGCAGTGTTGAAGGTAGACGGCACTTTGGTTACAGGCCATGCTACGGAGCAGCACCTTCAACACTCCACCCAGGATACTCTCCTTGGACTCTGTCACAGACACCGTCTAGGATACACAAATGCATAGAAACACACATCACAATCAATCAATACATTTGTATTAACCCCAGAGGGACATTTGGTTTGCAAATGTGTCAAACTTTCAACCTGACTGTGTGCGTGTGTGAGGAGTCTGGTGCTTCTTAAAGGTAGACTCAGCGATATGACATAGGTGCACAAAGTCAACAGCATAGTGGGTACATTTCCGCAACAACTAAGAGCGTTGAAGCGCGAGGCTATACTTCTCTGCTATTTTGGTGCCCTGGCTACCACGCTGCCACAGCGTGAAGTGAACCCGTGCACGTGCGCAGATACTGTGTGCGACTGTGTGAGAGCAAAGGCTTGCATCTCGCTCGTCGCAATATCTGCGGTGCTGCTCGTGGAAACGTCATTTCGCTGAGTCTACTTTTAACATCTCTATACCTGGACGATGATCTCCAGCGTATCCAGAATGATCAGGTTGGCCTCTGTTGCCAGGTTACCGTCAATAAGTGCTTCGTGCTCCAGCTCCGCTCTGGTCCTGTCACAGGAAACAAGAAGTGATACTCTCCAAAATGGCCGCCAGCCAGCTCTATATTCATGGGGTCCCCTTGAATGCCACAGCGCTCACCCTGCCTGTCAGTCACATTCAAGCCATTGCACACAGACAGGAGTTCTTCCATGTGCAATGTACTGTAGGGGTTTGGTGTATGGATGTATGGAGGGGTTGAGGAGTAGGATGGTGGTGGTGGGGGGATCATGACATGTTTTGTTGCAGTTGATGAGTTACACACCTAACTACCAAAGGCTCCTGGGGTTGGGTTTTGGTTCGACTCCCCGAGTTGCGTGGTAGGACACTGTCTCTAAACCTGCACGGCACAGTCCACAGTACACGGTAGCTACGCGCTGCATGGCATGGCATAGCTAGCACACGGAGAGGAGAGCAGGGGACCAGGGACCAAACGCACCTCCATCCCTTCCCCCACTAGGGGGAGAAGAGTTAGGCAGCAGAGGTAAGGCAGGAGGAGGGTTAGGGGGGCACCGGGGGATGGAGAGGGGTAGGTGTAGAGAGGCCACACCAATAGAATATGTTATTTCTGTGACTTATCCACTTTTATGTTGACTTATGGACATTGAGTATTACAAATAGGGGTCTAATTGTTTTAGAAGAGACTTTATTCTAAAAAGGGCAAGTACACATGCGGTACAATCATCTACCTTTCCTACTGTGCAAATTGTCACATGCTAATCATCCACCAATTGAGAACCTACCAGTTGCGACAGAATCACATTGATTTCACCCATCTAAACCCAGAATAGGGAACAGACACACATCAGTCAGAACCCAAAGGAGCAATGCACACTGGTTAAAGGAACAGCAGTCCCACTGCAGGCACCAGACAGACATACAGTGAGGGAAAAAAGTATTTGATCCCCTGCTGATTTTGTAAGTTTGCCCACTGACAAAGAAATGATCAGTCTATAATTTTAATGGTAGGTTTATTTGAACAGTGAGAGACAGAATAACAACAAAGAAATCCAGAATAACGCATGTCAAAAATGTTATAAATTGATTTGCATTTTAATGAGGGAAATAAGTATTTGACCCCCTCTCAATCAGAAAGATTTCTGGCTCCTAGGTGTCTTTTATACAGGTAACGAGCTGAGATTAGGAGCACACTCTTAAAGGGAGTGCTCCTAATCTCAGTTTGTTACCTGTATAAAATACACCTGTCCACAGAAGCAATCAATCAATCAGATTCCAAACTCTCCACCATGGCCAAGACCAAAGAGCTCTCCAAGGACGTCAGGGACAAGATTGTAGACCTACACAAGGCTGGAATGGGCTACAAGACCATCGCCAAGCAGTTTGGTGAGAAGGTGACAACAGTTGGTGCGATTATTTCGCAAATGGAAGAAACACAAAATAACTGTCAATCTCCCTCGGCCTGGGGCTCCATGCAAGATCTCACCTCATGGAGTTGCAATGATCATGAGAATGGTGAGGAATCAGCCCAGATCTACACGGGAGGATCTTGTCAATGATCTCAAGGCAGCTGGGACCATAGTCACCAAGAAAACAATTGGTAACACACTACGCCGTGAAGGACTGAAATCCTGCAGCGCCCGCAAGGTCCCCCTGCTCAAGAAAGCACATATACAGGGCCGTCTGAAGTTTGCCAATGAACATCTGAATGATTCAGAGGAGAACTGGGTGAAAGTGTTGTGGTCAGATGAGACCAAAATCGAGCTCTTTGGCATCAGCTCAACTCGCCGTGTTTGGAGGAGGAGGAATGCTGCCTATGACCCCAAAAACACCATCCCCACTGTCAAACATGGAGGTGGAAACATTATGCTTTGGGGGTGTTTTTCTGCTAAGGGGACAGGACAACTTCACCGCATCAAAGGGACGATGGACGGGGCCATGTACTGTCAAATCTTGGGTGAGAACCTCCTTCCCTCAGCCAGGGCATTGACAATGGGTCGTGGATGGGTATTCCAGCATGACAATGACCCAAAACACACAGCCAAGGCAACAAAGGAGTGGCTCAAGAAGAAGCACATTAAGGTCCTGGAGTGGCCTAGCCAGTCTCCAGACCTTACTCCCATAGAAAATCTGTGGAGGGAGCTGAAGGTTCGAGTTGCCAAACGTCAGGCTCGAAACCTTAATGACTTGGAGAAGATCTGCAAAGAGGAGTGGGACAAAATCCCTCCTGAGATGTGTGCAAACCTGGTGGCCAACTACAAGAAACATCTGACCTCTGTGATTGCCAACAAGGGTTTTGCCACCAAGTACTAAGTCATGTTTTGCAGAGGGGTCAAATACTTATTTCCCTCATTAAAATGCAAATCAATTTATAACATTTTTGACATGCGTTTTTCTGGATTAATTTGTTGTTATTCTGTCTCTCACTGTTCAAATAAACCTACCATTAAAATTATAGACTGATCATGTCTTTGTCAGTGGGCAAACATACAAAATCAGCAGGGGATCAAGTACTTTTTTCCCTCACTGTAAACACCACAATCATGGTTACAGGAGAGGTCAGGGGTCAGGTCACTAATGCAGCACACTGACTCCAGGGAACCATTCAATACCTGAAGGATCTGTGGCTCCTACACAGAGGCACAGTGAGACACGAGAGAACATTCGGAAAAAGAGTTCACAGATGAAAAGATGCATGTGCCTTACAGGTGTTTTAAACACTGAACATCTAAAAACAACAGGATAGGATCTGTCAGCATGCATTATTCTGTTGTAGCATCAGAATCCACCCATCACTCATAGGGGCTGTCTGTGGTACAGCGATAGGAAGAGAGAGAGAAGAGGCAAGAGAGAAGAGAGATAAAGAGAGAGAGAGAGAGAGGTAGAGCGAGAGTAGAGAGGGAGAAGTAGAAGAGAGGAGAGAGATAGAGAGAGAGAGAGTAGAGAGAGAGAGAAGAGAGAGGAGCGAGAGATCGAGAGGAGAGAGCTCGATCTCTTCTCTCTCTCTATCTCGCTAGTCGTCTCTCGCTCTCTCTCTCTCTCTCTCTCTCTCTCTCTCTCTCTCTCTCTCAAAAGGTAAGCATACTTGTCCATCCTCTCGCTGTGCTGGCGCCAGTGTGTCATGTCTTTCCTCCAGCGCAGGTTCTCCTGGCTGCCGAAGGCACTGCCTGACGGACTCCTCTCTACAGTGGGGGGGGGGGGGGGGGGGGGACATAAGAGGAGGAGAGAAGATAGGGATGAGAGGAGGAGAGAGGGAATGAGAAGGAAAGGGGGGGTAGAGCGGGTGAGGGAGAGGAGATATGGGAGGAGATATGGAGCGAAAGGCAAAGAGAAGTTAAAGGGAGAGAGATTGAATGGTCATTTTCAGATCACTTTTCCCAATGTGTGTGTGCGTGTGTGCTGTGTGTGTGTGTGTGTGTGTTTGCTCTGTGTACCTAGCTGTCCCCTGCTGCGGCGGACCATCTCCTGCCGTGCCCCGATGCTCCCCAGTATGGCCTCCTCCAGCTTGGCCTTCATGTCCTTGGACTTCTTGAAGGTCAGGCTGTTCATGCGCTCAAAGGCCTTCTTCCCCTGCATGGTGAACACAACATGGGCCTTTTTCCATGATGAGGATGGAGAGAAGTTACAGGGTTACTGTGCCACACTACCACAGCAAGAGAGGTACGATGGATTAGAGATGGATTATATGGAAAAGTAAGAGTAAGGAAAGATTAAGATTACTTTATTGGTCAACTGCACACAAGGTCCAACCAAAATTTGACTTCCGCTTTTAACCCAACCTCTCCGAAAAACACACATACATACACCAATTTGAAAACCATCTCATAGAGCATGGGAAGTACAAATTCCAAGAACCTTTTCAAATAAGTTTCTTTCCACCCAGTCTTATCCAGGGACGAAATAATGGACTGTCAGTGAGGCAATACATTTGACGTGCTTCCACAGAATCGATGGCATTACTACAAATGACCTAAGGAAAGTACACCATGCATGCTTTTGCCCGTGCTCCAGGTGGGACGTTACCTTGTACTCGAAGCAGGAGACGCAGAGGTAGAGCATGTCCAGCAGACGGTTGAGCTGGGAGACCGACAGGTCAGAGAACCACTTCTGTAGGACACACTCATCTGCATTCTTCAGAACCCACAGCAGACAGATCAACAGGCTGCGACTGGACTCTGCTGAGAAGGTGCCGTGCAGACGACTGGCCTGGAGAGAGAGGGGAAGATACAAAGGAAAGAAAAGGTGAGCAAAACAGAGGAAATTAAAGAGGAAATAAAGAGATGGAGAGAAAGAGAGACTCTGGAAGAAAAGACAGAGGGAGAAAGGTAGGACAAAGAGAGGAAGGGATAGAGAGAGAGAGAGAGAGAGAGAGAGAGAGAGAGAGAGAGGAGAGAGAGAGAGAAACAGGAAGTGTAGTTACCTGTGGGTTGAGCAGGACGCTGCCGGGACGGGACACCGGAGTTGAGGTCCCCGCTATCGCCATGGCAACGGTCTGACTGATCATGCTGCTGCCGTCCTCTACAGACTCGTCCCCCACGGCCCCACCTGCGGACCCCTGAGCTCCCCCAGGGCGGCCCCACTGGTTATGGGACTCTACAGAAAAGAGAGGGGGGGGAGAGGAGAGAAACCAATCAGGATCAACAAGCACAAAACAAAATCTGTCGGGACTAGCACATCAGAGTTGCAGACATTGTTTAATGTGCTTTTCCTGAGCAGCACCAAAACCAGTGGGACGCCCACAGATTTCTAAAGCCACCTCATAGCCCTTTTATCTAACCACACTGCTATTCAAGTATGGATCAACTCCACATATCTACCGACTCAGAATACCCCTGAACGTTTGGGACATGGAAGGCTAAATGTAGAATTCAGACCTACCTGTGAAGTCGTGCAGCTGGGGCAACGTTTCCATGACGATGCCGATGAGTGGCAGGTAGAGGATGGCGACACGGGCCTTGACCTCAGGGTCATTGTAGCGGGGGTCGGAGTCATGGCTGGACAGCAGGTTATGGACCACACTGATCACCTTCTTATGTAAGCCAAACATCCTATAGGATAGGGAGGGAGGGAGGAAGACAGAGGTTTATTTGGATAGGGACAAGTACAAACACATTGACTAAACAATTTCCCGATGCATTGTATTATAGTGTTTCTAGCATACGCTAATTTTCTACAATTGTCAAGACAGCGTGAGGTATCAAACTACCCTTACAGAGTGGGAGAGTTTGTCCTGAAGCCTGCCACAGGGGACAATTCTTCCTTGCTAAGATAAACGACACCTCTCTGACAGCAAGAGGAGAAAGGTGGACGTTTGGAGATGATCTGAACATGCTGGAGGTCAGGAGAACCCAAGAGCCAAGCTCAATACAAACTGACAGGACAAAGGCTAACAATATGAAATTGAATCCCAGCGAATGCAAGGTGCTTAATGTGTTCCAGCCACCAAGCTCCTAGGCTTGTGGGTACAGGCAGATCTTCGATGGGACATGCATCGACCAAAAAAGCCAGAGAATGTTCATCCTAAAAAGGCTGAGGAGGTTTCACACTCCAATACAAGACCTGAAAACTGTCTATGAGACGTATATCTCCTGTGGTGCACTGTTTCCGTTGCAGCCATTTATGTGGCACTGCGCCGTGTCAAAATCATTGGTGCCACGCCCAAAAAATATGGAACATGAAAAGATATTGCTGCTGAGGGACACTTTGAAGACGCTAGAACAGTCCACATTTACTTTTCCTCTGCAAACAAAACGAGTAATGAATAGACCAGACAAACCCATACTACAATAGTTTATCTAGTTACCTAGTCGGCTTGTTGTTGTGGGTTCTATGCAAGATAAATATTATTCGAGGCGCATTCAAGTTACCATAGGGAGGGAAACATGCATTCTAGTCAATGCACAAATCTTGCAATCGTGGGGAAAACAGCCATTTTGATGGCCTTTGTTAAAAAGGAGGAGGATCCCAGCTTTCCATTCCTACTTTATTTCTCAACGCCTTTCTAAACCCAGAGTTTTTAGCAGCACCATGGTTAAGCACATTACCGCTGCAATTCGCATAGGGGTGAGTGGGGCTAAATGTAACACGGGTCAATTGTAGGGTAACTTGGGGTAGAATGCCACCCTACCTCAACATATTTTTGTTGGAGTGACTTAAAAAAAAATTGTGATGAGAGATGACAGTTGAGCAAGAGTAATGGTAACCAGGGTGACATGGTGGTTTCTGTAAGAAGTACACGCAGTGTTACCCCAGGTGGCGGTTTACCCCAAGTTACCCTAACAGGTAGGACTACATTATATTCACTGTGCTTATGCATGTTTTCTGGGAAATAACATTCATCAATAGGATGCTAACTTGTTAAAATATCACATTTAGGATCTAGCTAATGATAAGCTCAGTAGGGTAAATGCAGATAGGAAACCCCATGCGTCAGCCTATTTATAGCCACTATGCTGCATCAGTCGGGCTACAGGTGATAATGCTTACTGCTAATAGCATACCTGATAATACGGACCATGCATAGGCTATATGCATGGTCCAATATGCTAAAATAATTTAAACAAATAATTTTACCAATATGGTGTCATCATCATTTTATTTTCAGGGACCCCCCTCCAACCTTTTTCCTCCACTGCTACACATTTTTCCAGAGGAAAACTGCTGTGGTGGAGTAGGCTGTTTCTGTGTGGCATTTCAACCTCACTGAAAAACAACACCAGGCCTTAGAGAGAGTCCAGAGGAGGGCCCTCAAGATCATTCTAGGTTCTGGCTACGCAACATACTCAGTGGCCTGCCAAACCCTACGGATGCAACCATTGCAGCAGAGACGAGAGGAGCGGTGTCTGAAATGTGCTCTCAAGCCGCAGAGTTCAAACAAATTCTCCAGCTGGCTGCCACCTCAAGTGACCAGCTACCCGGAGTAAGGACAAGGCAGGAAGGGCAACTACAGGAGATCAGATGCAACACTGAACGCTACAGAAAAAGTCCAATACAATCATTAGTTGGCCTTTTAAATGGAAACTATATGGGGCAGATGTTCACATTGTAATGTTTTTTTTTAAATAAATGTGTTCATTTTAATTATGTTTATTCTTTACTGTAAACTGCCAGAGTGCACCGATGTATTTATCTACACAAAGACAGAAGATAACACTGACCGCTAAGTTTCAGGGTCGAGAAAGACGTACACTGAGTGTACAAAACATTGAACACCTGCTCCTTCCATGACAGATTGACCAGGTGAATGCTATGATCCCTTATTGATGTCATTTGTTAAATCCACTTCAATCAATCAGTGTAGATGAAGGGGAGGAGACAGGTTAAAGAAGGATTTTTTGAAAATTGAGACAGATTGTGTAGTGTGCCATTCAGAGGGTGACTGGGCAAGACAAAATACTTAAGTGCCTTTGAACGGGGTATGGTAGTAGGTGCCAGGCGCACCGGTTTGTGTCAAGAACTGCAACGCTGCTGGGTGTTTCCCGTGTGTATCAAGAACGACCCACCACCCAAAGGACATCCAGCCAACATGGCACAACTGTGGGAAGCATTGGAGTCAACATGGACCAGCATCCCTGTGGAACGCTTTCGACACCTTGTAGAGTCCATGCCCCGATGAATGAAGCTGTTCTGCGGGCAAAGGGTGGGGTGCACCTCAATATTAGGAAGGTGTTCTTAATGTTTTGTACACTCATTGTATACGTCACATGAACAATAACCCCGCTCAATAACAGTCACACAATGTACTGCCCCTTAGCCTTGAGAGGGTCGACAAAGAAAGACACATAGTATAGGTGAAGAGGAGAGAACCCTTCTCAATAGCACACACACAGTATCCCGCTAGACCTTCAGGAAGCACAGAACGACCGAGAGAAACATGAGGTCCACGTGACCACAGTAACCCTCACATACATTAACACAATGTACTGACCACCTAGGAGTCTGCCTTCGAGAATCACAGCGAGCGACAAAGGAGGCAAATGACATAACCTCTCGGTCTCCCTCTCATACACACAAACAGTAAACACAGTGTACTAATACTGACGCTTCGGCCTCCGGGTCCAGGATGACAGCCAGTTCAGCCAGCACCAGTCCAGCCAGGTAGTGCTGCTCTCTGAAGGGGACAGACAGCTCAAACATGTTGGCTATCTTCTGGTCCTGGGCATGGGTAGAGAAGCTAGAACTCTGTGGAGATGGAGAGAAGTATGGAGAGAGTGAGAAACAGAAGCAGGGGATGATTTAGAGACATTGTCCACACACCTCTTACTCCTCCAGGACGTGTGTGTGTGTGTGTGTGTGTGTGTGTGTGTGTGTGTGTGTCCAGTGTGTGTGTGTACTGTGTATAGCTGACCTGTGAGGTTGCGGATGACACGCTGGGTGAAGGCGAGGCGGGGGGCGTGAGGAGGCTGCAGGGCAGGTTAATTGTGACGTAGTGCTCGTGGCTGCAGACGATCCTCAGGAAGTCCAGTCTCAGGGACTCCAGAGTTGGGTTCTGCAGCATGTACTGCTTAGCGGACACCTGGGGAGAGGCATGGAATGATGTCCAGAAAACTGCCCAAAACAGGGTTTGATGGAGAAGCACTGTTGAGGCCCTTTACTCCAAGTCAGGGAAGTGATATCCAATAGTGTAATTGGCAGGATAGCTACTGTACTGTTACTTCTAAAATCCTGTGCACAAAGTCACTCCATCATAGTGGTTATATCACCAAGCCTTTTTGAATGAAAGCAGATTCTGCAAGGATGTTGTCATTAAGGTGATGTTGGGGTGCTTCCCTCTTCCAGTACCTGTTTCCAGTATGTCTTGATGAGGGAGAAGGCGAAGCCTCGGTCCATGACAGACAGCAGGTCATTCAGGAAGAAGGCCAGGCTGGTGTTCAGACGCTCCACCAACTCAAGGTCCTGATTGGACAGAAACACAGGGTCAGAGGTCAGGGTAGAGTCTCGAGAACACTGCTCGATCGGATTTACTTCGAACCAGAAAAGGTCCATTCAGACCATTCCCTTTATTTGGAGTATCTGTGTGATTCGTGGCATTAGAAACTGCTGTGTTGATGTAAGCCTGATCTGTATTGTCCCCGTGTGTCCTATGCTGGTGACAAAGTTTATTCTGATTTTCACTCCTACCTTCTGAACGCGTGAGACAATGTCCCCAGCGATGGTGCTAACCAGGGCTGTGATGTCATCCATGAAGCGCTCAGGGAAACGGTTCTTTCTGGGCGACTCTAGCCGGTCGGTGAAGTACAGGTGGTGGATGATGCTCTTCACCTGAGGAATGAGGTCATCAAGGTGAGACAGGGCCCAACCATAGCGGATTATAGAGGACTCTTGGGCCCAAAACCTTGTTTTAGCATGGACAGCGCCATTGAGGATTTTCACCATTTTTAAGTAGTAACTGGGTTAAGGAAGAATCACATATTCCCATCCAGGTCATCAAGAGGGATCAGCCAATGAATTATACTCGTGAGTAAACATTCCATAACTGCAGGTGGCACTAAAATCACCAACCTTGGCTTTATACCTGTTCAAACAACACACTACAGGTGGCAGTATGCACCCTTTCAGTTTGTTTACCAACTCATAGAAGTAGTAGAAGAAGAAAATGGACCACTTCAAAATGGAGATGGCCTCAATGGCGCTGCCCATGCTCTCACAGACGCCATAATGGGACAGATAGTGTCTATCTAAGTCTATGGGCCCAACACATAGTGGTAGTTATGGGTTGGTAATATCTGGCCAAGCCCCACGTAGTACAATTTATCTTCTTAAAATCAGATTTTAAACCTAACCCTGAGCTTAACCCTAACCACAATGCTAACCTTATGCCTAACCTTAAATTAAGACCAAAAGGCAAATTTCTGATAAAGCCAATTTTGACTTTGCAGCTTGGCCAACTAGAGGGAACCATAGACACAGGGCCAGGATGAAAAGCACAATAGTGTAGCCTTGTGACACTATCGTGCCAACCGGAACCATACTGACTTTGCTTAGATATTTTATTTTCACTCTGTCATTTCCAACATGTTTCCACCAATTATGGTGGATACGCAACCAGGCCAGAGCAGTACAGGTCGGCACAGCTTACTAGTGTGAAAAAGGCTCCAGAGATGCAGCTGTGTGTCGTCTTGTCTTACCATGAGCTCGAAGAAGAACCAGGCCTGTTGTATAGCTCCCTCCCTGACGATGCCACTGCTCACCACCCACTGTAGGGCCAGCTCCTCGTGGAACAACTGAGACAGAGAGATGGAGACACACGGACCAGACAGTTAGACACACATAGCACAGTACATCAGACCTGGGTCAACCTGCCCTTAATAATAGTTTGATCTTATCTTAGTCATGTAATATATGTAATATTTGCTCCAAAAAAAACGAAATAATCCACTTGGTGCGCCTGTGTCTGGTGGTAACACTGAAAAAGGAGGCTTCATTAAGATATAAATATCAAGAGTGTGCCGTTTCCCTGAACAAGGGTCAAAGTGCTACAGTTAGTGGTTCGCTCCACACAAACACACCATTCCTGTACAATACTGTCAACATCACAATTCAATCACAGCCAAGAGGACATCTACACTCTACATCAGGGATGGGCAACTGGTGGCCCGTGGATAATTTTTTGGCCGGGGTAACTCAGTTGGGGTCTCGACTTACTGTTTAGAGTTAGAATAGTAGAAAACACAAGGTGCAATTTCAAAATTTGGTTGTGCATCAGCAGTTTTTCACTTGTTATTTCAGTCACTGACAGTCACTCAATTAGCCCATGTCAGCGAAAAAATGTTTGATCGGTAAGTTAGTCTCGCCAGCTATCTAAACCTGTAGTAATCATAGTCTAATTACCGACCAGGGTGCCCCTATGGAGTTTGTTAGTCAGATACCATTAAAAACTGCAAACAATTCTCTCCACAAATGTGTAGAATTGCAGGAAATTAGCTGTAAATCTGCTAATTTATATCTCTGCTCCATGAAAAATGAGTAAAAGTGCATAAAATAACTATATCTTCTCTCTGCCCCATGACAAAATGTGTAGAATTACAGCAAACGTGCTTTAAAACTGCCACATGGCAAAATGTGTAGAATTGCAGGAAATTAACTCTAAAACGTAACCTAAACTGTTTTGCTCGCAAGATGGGGGGACCCCCCCCCCCCCCCCCCCAAACAAAATGTCACTTAGGGCCCCCAAAAGGCTAGGGCCGGCTCTGACTGCATGTTTATTAGGATCCCCATTACCTTTTGCAGAAGCAGCAGCTACTCTTCCTGGGGTCCACAAATGTGTGGGTATGGATGTGGGTATGCAGACCCGCAAGCCACTGCGGCCCCTCATGAGTCGTCAAGATTTTTTGTGGCCCCCACCCGCAACAAAGTTGCCCATCCCTGCTCTACATCCAAAAAGACCACAACCACCAAACACACCATCCAATCAAGAGGCACACATCCAGAGACAGACGAATAAGGTGAGGGGGCTCTGTATGGCTCCTCCCCCGGTGTAGACAGCGGTAGGTACCTTTTTGGTGGGTAACCGTCCTGTTAAAGTTTGCAAGAAACTGGCGCTCTCAGCGTGCGAAGACATGCGGTTGCCACAGCGCTCCATGGCCTATGGGTGGGATGGATGGGACGGTGACAACAACAGGTTAGTGAGAGGCAACGGGTATAGCTGTAGCATCTTCTCAACCCAAGGAGATGTGTCTGCAGCAGAATCCCTCTCTCACTTTCACACACTCAGAAGCTTACACACACAGTCATATACTCGGTCACACACAATGAACAAACATGAACACAAACAATCACACAAATACACAAAACGTCATATAATCTAAAACGACAGTATACGAAAAACACAGTACCAATATAGAAGTGCAGTGTGTGAGATACTTCATATTTATATTTCTTACATACATTTTACACAAATGGAAAAACTTCCCCTAGATATGCAGTTTGTGCACCGTATCAACTGCGGGGGAAAAATGACAACAAACACCCCAAATATGGGTTAACCTGTGGGTATAACTTACCTCTGTTAACCCATATATTTATTTTACTGAATCTTTGGACATGACTAGAGCCACAAAAAAATACCCTTCACGACAACCAATGACGACAACCACAGTCACAACACAAAGACAAAAAAAATACAAAGACAACCACATACACACTCGCACTCCCTCCCAAACCCACCCAGCACACCACCACATGCAGCAGTATTCCACATCATGCCCATCCCACACGGTGAATAAGATTAGTAGTAGGTCATGCATGGGTTCAAATGACCATGGTGAAAATGAAACAGGACTGGGAATGAGAGGATGAGGAAAGCTAATTAAAATGAATATTGGGGAAATGAAGATCACGTGGTGATAGCCTCTGGACCGCCAATAAAAATAGTATAGATTTCAAGTATGAGAAAAGGAAAATGCCACAAACTGAGTCACGTGGGTCTTGGCTAGAGGTTCTTGGCTGGAAGTTGACTGCAATGTATGTGCAACACCTCTCCTGCACTGGGGGTATAAGAAGTGTGGTGAGAAATCCGTCTGCACTTGTTTGACATGACTTTAAGAGATTAGTGACAACACCACGACTTCAGAATGGGCATAGATGTTACTTCTCCAGCCCAACTGGAGAGAGAAAGGTGTTGTGTAAAAACTGAAAGGACGACAAGAAGTGAAAGAACTAAAGATGGCGGTTTAAGGTTCATAGAGGCAGCTTTGACTTCCTGTCTGGTGGAGCGTGTAGATGATGGGTGGATGAGGTGCGGGTTAAGAAGGGTAGGGAGTGACGGTGACGTATTTTTTAGGGGGGAGAGGAAGGGAGTTGTTATTGTTGAAGCACCTGCATTGAGTTAGTGTCAGAGGCAGAGCCGGGGCTGGATCTCCAGGGGGTGCTCTTACACCCCATGGTGTGCACCCAGGAGTTGGAGCGGTCTAGGCCCTGAGAGGTCAAGGGTCCCAGGTCAAAGGGCAGGCAAGATCAAGGCAGCAACGAGCGGACGGAGCAGCACAGGGGAGGAGGGAACAGCATAGAGGTTAAAGGTTAAGATGATTGAATCGTAAGCAGCAAGGGGGAATAATAAAGTTAGCTAGTTAAAGATCAGAAATAATTTAATTAGAAACCCCTGATTCATGAAAACAGCAATGCATGAACAGATTAGATCGCATATCCCATCATGACAATCTGCAGCCCTCCATTGGTTCAGAAACAAGAATACAGGTTTAGTTTAGTAGCATTATACTGTAGGTATCATTCATCACACAGGGGAAGCTACAGAACTAGAATTACTAGGATACGTAGAACAGGAATCCCCATTCAAGTTGATGTGCCATCATGGCTGGCTATTCTATTTCTATGGGGGCAGCATCCATCACTAGCATCACGTTAGACCAGACTTCAGAAAAACAGAGAAGGAGTGTTCATCACTCACTCATCTTTCAAGTACTTTTGGGGTCAAACTAAGTAATTTGATCAAAGTACCAAATCATTGTACGATTATATGGCTGCATTAGAGCAACGAGTCCACGTTATTAACTAATTTACGAAGTGTCTCTGTAATACACTCCGCTACCCCTGGAAATTCCTCTACTAACAGAGCCGTGAAGATTGTTTCACTTTCCTAAAAGTGTCCTACTGTATACTTTGCTATGCTGAGGTTGCCCTCTCCCTGCTGTGTGTCAGGTTGGTGATACAGGGGTTACAGAGATAAGGTGTTCCTGCTGATGTTTGTCCATCAGCTATAGGGTTGACAAGTCACACAGTTGAGAAATGCTGCTCTCAGGTTCATAGTGTACAGTCAAGTGATACAGTGGTACAGTGACAGCTTATGTGGAGGCAGAAATAGTGGGGCTTTTCAATCTAATCCTCTATGAAGTCAGTGAATCCATGGCAATGAGGTTTAAAAAAAAAAGTGCTTCAGTGTACGATTATTATATGATTAAGCAATGCCAGAGTGGGTGTGATATACCACGGCTAAGGGCTGTTCTTACGCACGACGCAACGCGGAGTGCCTGGATACAGCCCTTAGCCGTGGTATATTGGCCATATACCACAAACCCCCCGAGAAGCCTTACTGCTATTATAAACTGGTTACCAATGTAATTAGAGCAGTAATACATGTGTGTCATACGGTCTGATACAGTGCATTCGTAAAGTATTCAGACCCCACATTTTGCTCCGTTCAGCTTTCCCTCGATCCTGACTAGTCTCCCAGTCCCTGCTGCTGAAAAACATCCCCACAGCATGATGCTGCCACCACCATGCTTCACCGTAGGGATGGTGCCAGGTTTCCTCCAGACGTGACGCTTGCCATTCAGGCCAAGAAATGTTTTGGTACCCTTCCCCAGATCTGTGCCTTTGACACAATCCTGTCTCGGAGCTCTACGGACAATTCCTTCGACCTCATGGCTTGGTTTTTGCTCTGACATGCACAGTCAACTGTGGGACCTTAGACAGGTGTGTGCCTTTCCAAATCATGTCCAATCAATTGAATTTACCACAGGTGGACTAAAATCAACTTGTAGAAACATCAAGGATGATCAATGGAAACAGGATGTACAGTGGGGAAAAAAAGTATTTAGTCAGCCACCAATTGTGCAAGTTCTCCCACTTAAAAAGATGAGAGAGGCCTGTAATTTTCATCATAGGTACACGTCAACTATGACAGACAAAATGAGAAAAGAAATTCCAGAAAATCACATTGTAGGATTTTTTATGAATTTATTTGCAAATTATGGTGGAAAATAAGTATTTGGTCAATAACAAAAGTTTCTCAATACTTTGTTATATACCCTTTGTTGGCAATGACACAGGTCAAACGTTTTCTGTAAGTCTTGACAAGGTTTTCACACACTGTTGCTGGTATTTTGGCCCATTCCTCCATGCAGATCTCCTCTAGAGCAGTGATGTTTTGGGGCTGTCGCTGGGCAACACGGATTTTCAACTCCCTCCAAAGATTTTCTATGGGGTTGAGATCTGGAGACTGGCTAGGCCACTCCAGGACCTTGAAATGCTTCTTACGAAGCCACTCCTTCGTTGCCCGGGCGGTGTGTTTGGGATCATTGTCATGCTGAAAGACCCAGCCACGTTTCATCCTCAATGCCCTTGCTGATGGAAGGAGGTTTTCACTCAAAATCTCACGATACATGGCCCCATTCATTCTTTCCTTTACACGGATCAGTCGTCCTGGTCCCTTTGCAGAAAAACAGCCCCAAAGCATGATGTTTCCACCCCCATGCTTCACAGTAGGTATGGTGTTCTTTGGATGCAACTCAGCATTCTTTGTCCTCCAAACACGACGAGTTGAGTTTTTACCAAAAAGTTCTATTTTGGTTTCATCTGACCATATGACATTCTCCCAATCCTCTTCTGGATCATCCAAATGCACTCTAACAAACTTCAGACGGGCCTGGACATGTACTGGCTTAAGCAGGGGGACACAGCAGGATTTTTTGCTCACCGTTCTTGTGATCATTTTGACCCCACGGGGTGAGATCTTGCGTGGAGCCCCAGATCGAGGGAGATTATCAGTGGTGTTGTATGTCTTCCATTTCCTAATAATTGCTCCCACAGTTGATTTCTTCAAACCAAGCTGCTTACCTATTGCAGATTCAGTCTTCCCAGCCTGGTGCAGGTCTACAATTTTGTTTCTGGTGTCCTTTGACAGCTTTGGTCTTGGCCATAGTGGAGTTTGGAGTGTGACTGTGAGGTTGTGGACAGGTGTATTTTATACTGATAACAAGTTCAAACAGGTGCCATTAATACAGGTAACGAGGGGAGGACAGAGGAGCCTCTTAAAGAAGAAGTTACAGGTCTGTGAGAGCCAGAAATCTTGCTTGTTTGTAGGTGACCAAATACTTATTTTCCACCATAATTTGCAAATAAATTAATTAAAAATCCTACAATGTGATTTTCTGGATTTTTTTTTCTCAATTTGTCTGTCATAGTTGACGTGTACCTATGATGAAAATTACAGGCCTCTCTCGTCTTTTTAAGTGGGAGAACTTGCACAATTGGTGGCTGACTAAATACTTTTTTTCCCCACTGTACCTGAGCTCAATTTCGAGTCTCATAGCAAAGGGTCTGAATACTTACGCAAATACAAATTTGCTAAAATTTCTAAAAACCCTGTTTTTGCTTTGTTATAATGGGGTATTGTTTGTAGATTGCTGAGTATTTTTATTTATTTAATACATTTTAGAATAAGGCTGTAACGTAACAAAATGTGGAAAAAGTCAAGGGGTCTGAATACTTTCCGAAGGCACTGTACATATGAGATGAGTAAAGCAGTATGTAAACATTATTAAAGTGACTAGTGTTCCATTATTAAAGTGGCCAGTGAGTCCATGTCTATATATATAGGGCAGCAGCCTCTAAGGTGCAGGGTTGAGTAACCCTCATGGACACTCTTACTGACAGTTGTGGCTGCTTCGCGTGATGTATTGTTGTCTCTACCTTCTTGCCTTTGTGCTGTTGTCTGTGCCCAATAATGTTTGTACCATGTTTTGTGCTGCTACCATGTTGTGTTGCTACCATGTTGTTGTCATGTGGTGTTGCTACCATGCTGTGTTGTCATGTGTTGCTGCCATGCTGTGTTGTCTTAGGTCTCTCTTTATGTGGTGTTGAGGTGTCGCTCTTGTTGTGATGCGTTTTGTCCTATATATTTTTTTTAAATCCCCGTCCCCGCAGGAGGCCTTTTGCCTTGCGGTAGGCCGTCATTGTAAATACGAAATTGTTCTTAACTGACTGAAAAATAATATTACAAAGAAAAGCTGCCATGTTGGTCGGCGCCATCTTGGGTAGGGCCCTACAAACTCCATTAAATATGCCTGATTCCGTTTTGTTTTTCCAGGTTTCCACTCTCAAAAATCACACTTTTTTAATAGAAAAACAACACATTTCATGTTTTATGTCCACAACAATGCTTAAACCACATCAGGAGACCACTTTTGATGTCTCTGAAAAATCTGAGAAATTTTAATCTTTGGGTGTAGTTACCCTTAATTCAAGTGCGCATATAGCAAGAGGCTGTTGGTTAGCAGTGTTTTTGTAGCGGTAGAGACGGGAAAATCTCATTGCCTCTTCAGAAAGTTGCAAGAAATATGAACCAATGATGCATTCTGTTCATGACTTATAATAAACTTGGGAAAATGTCTACATTTTCTATACATTTAGTTGATTAAATACATTTTTTTATATGGTTGAATTCCGTTTCAATGCCTGGATTCAGTGAGTACCCTAATGATCATATTGGGAGCAGAATGAGCCTCTCCACTACCTATTGTCCCTGCAGTGATGATTCACCATCTTCATCTAATGTTTTCATCATATATTCACAGATAATTGCCAAAAAGCCTACCAGTAGCCTATGCAAATTAGGGAGCCAAGTGAACGTCTCTGTCACCGATGCGATTCGGTAGGCTACACTGACTAACGCAACGATACTCACTCACAGACCTGCAAACTTCAGCACGGCGGCGGCGTCAACAAATAGATGGCTAGAAGATGCATATCATTCATTCTAGCGGGAGAGGGAGCGACAGACTAGCAAATTGAAACGTTTAAATGAAAAGTAGCCTAGTTAATATGAAGTGGAAAAGGTAGCCGGCTGAAAATGAGTCTGTAACCGTCTGATTAGCCGACGGCCGGCGCTAATGGAAAACACTGCACCATTGATGCATAGTGGACTGACTGTACCCCAAAAGTACTGAGAAACATAACGTAAGCCATGTCTGGTCTGTGGCGTGTCTCCTACCTTACTACCGATGATGGATCGGACCTCATCGTCAGGGGAGGTGGGTGTGCCAGAGATATCAGGGTTACTGTTGCTAAGGCTACGGGAGCGGTTGAGATTTAGGCTGGCAGGTCGCTGGGCGGACCTGGCCATTGTGGCATAGTGGACTGAACCACCCAGACCTGGACCTAAGACACACACACACATGAAAAAAAAAAAAGTAGTTATTGCTCCACAATAAATGTAATGGCTCTTACAGTTTAATAGAGTTTAATATCATTGAATACAAGCCAAAACTGGGGTAAAACAAAAAGAAAAAGCTGAGGTACCTGATGAGGGGGAGTTGGGGTCCGTGTTGGGCAGGCGGAATACGTAGTATACGTAGGAGGAGAGCAGGCTGTTTCTGCCGTGCATGTCCTGACTAGTGTCCAAGTACTTATGGAGCCGGTTCACTATGGACGCCATCACCTCGAACGACGCCTGGCCCATGTTCACTACACACACAGACACGCACACAAGACAACACATTTAGGACCAGATATTACAGTCGTTTAATTCAGTGCCAGTTCAGTGGCAGCACAAAAGTTCAAAAGGCACAGGTTTGTTCTTAAAATATGGGTACTTTGAATATTTGAATATCATTTATTATCTTCCTATTATTATTCATTTGGAATACAATTATTTAAATGAAGTCATTGAAAGGCTACAGTTCCTATGAGGCTGGATGTGGTACCTATCTGTCCTGATATGACGGGCGGCCGCACCACCAGCAGCACCAGCTTATCCAATAGGAGGTGGAGGAAGCGGACCATGGGCTCCAGCTGGGAGGAGTTTAGCGCGGCGATGCTGGACTTTAACTCCGCCTCCAGGTTGTTCTCCATGATGCGCGTGTCTCCTATCCGCACAGGGAACATGTGGTCCAGGGCATGGACCATTGCAAAGAACTTATCCAGGTACTGGTCCTGATGGAGAGAGGGATAGAAGGAGGGAGGGAGGGAAAGAAAGAGAGAGAGAGAAGTCAGTAACAAAGAAAACCTGGCTTTGATCAAAGGAAAATGTGAGACTCCACTGCACAATAGAAGTGCTTGAACTGTGTGCTCTGAGGTTAGAGCTACAGTCTACAGTAGGGTAATGCAGTGAGCAGAGCTATAGGTACCCAGACCCAGTGATTTATGATCACATTACCACCAGGCTAAGGTCCTGGGAAACACTCTCCCTCTCCCCTCCACACGACAGCCAACAGGACAGAGAGATGGAGTGGGCTGCACTAAATAACACCAGTGAAGTTCAACCAGTAATGAACTGAGGGAGGGACACGTTACGCTCACCACTCCTCCCTCCACTATCCAAGCTGCGGTATTTGGTCTATCTATCTGTCTCGGAGTCTGACACAGATATACGCTAATGTTACGGATACAGGTATCCTGTGTCTTTTTGTGTTTTTCCTCTCCTTCTGCCCTAATCACAGGTGTCCTGTATGTTCCTGATTGGTGGTCGTTGGGGTTTCTGCTGATTGCTGAAGTGGACCAATCAGTGGACATTCCTCTGCATTGCACCACCTGTTTCTGGTTTTTCAATCACACATCCCATTGTTTAAAAGCCAGTCAGTTGTGTTTGTAGAGAGAGACTATTTTCCGTATGTGAGTATGGATACTGTGGTGTCCTGTGTTTTGTGTACTCACTCATTTGCTGGTTACTCTGTTTGGTAACTTTGTTGTGTGTTTCTGGGAAAAGGGGAATTTAAGCAAGTTGCCCTTGGGCATACATTACCCGTAGGAAGAAAACTGTCTAAAAACACTAGTTAGACCTGAGCGGACCACCCACTGTAATTTTTGTATGATTAGCAGTAGCTTAGCGGTTCTTGAGGCAGGCAAGATCAGTTTAGTTTTTCTTTTACACTATTGTTTCATTTCTTGGGTCCTGCTCAGCCCTTTTTCCCAAACCTTTACTGTGTGTTCAAAAATAAACCTTTTATGTTTGACGGTAGTTTATGGTTGTCGTGTAGTTTTTGTTCTCACCGTTTCATGTCACGATTCTAATTTGCATGAATTATGTTACGGGTCTCTTGTCCATCCACCCTAGACGTTTAAAGCCACGGGGTTCATAACATAATGTGGGGGTTCGTCCGGGTTAATTCTCATTGATACCCATGCTACTCATGCAAATTAGTTAGTGTCTGTTTCAGTGTTGAGCTTGGCAGCTGTAACTAACTGGTTTTGTGTTCAGTATTCGTCGGCTCGTGTTGCTAGTTTAAGATGGCTACTTTTGAGTTGGATGCCTTTTTGGAAACCCTACGTGGGAGGTTTTTGAGAATTGCCGTAGAGTGGATCTACAGGCTTTGGCTGACCACTTTTCTGTACCCATATCAAGGGTTTTAGTGAAAGCAGAAGTTAGGAAAACAGTGTTAGAGATATTGTTGAACGAGCGAGTGCTTGAGTTACCGCCGCCTGAGTCTGCTGCTCCTGTAGGGGATGTGGCTGCTGCTCCTGTAAGCCCGTCGGTGTCTGAGGCTAAGGCTCCAGCCACAATGCCCCGTTTTGACCCACTCTCCCCACTGTCTGACAGTGATGCCAGGATGGATGTCCGCTTGACACGGCTCCAAATGGAGGCGGAAGAGAGGGCACAAATCAGGCAAGAAAAGTTGGCGACGCGTAGGCTTGATCAAGAACTGGAGACGCGTAAGATGGAACTGGAGATGCGTAAAATGGAGATGGCGGCAGAAACAGCGAGGTTAGTCTCTGCTCATACTATGCCTGCTAGTGAGCCATCCTCACCAGCTGTGGCATCTGCTACTTTTGATATTAGTAGACAGATCACCTTGGTACCTGTGTTTAGGGAGTCAGAGGTTGATTCCTATTTCAGTGTTTTTGAACGTATAGCGGTAGCATTGAAATGGCCCGAAGAGGTATGGTGCCTTTTACTTCAGTGTAAATTAACAGGTAAAGCCCAAGAGGTTCTGTCAGCGCTACCACTTGAAGACAGCTTGAATTATGACGTGGTCAAAGCTACTGTTCTTCGTGCCTATGAGCTTGTTCCTGAGGCATATCGACAGAGATTTAGGTCTCCTACTTAGACTTATGTGGAGTTTGCTAGAGACAAAGGAAATATGCTTGACAAATGGCACAGTGCTAGTAAGGTAACTGATTTTAACTCTCTACAGGAGTTAATCTTGTTAGAAGAGTTAAAAAATTGCTTACCCGAACGCATTGTAGTTTATCTGAACGAACAGAAAGTATCCTCACTGTCGGAAGCGTCTGTATTGGCAGACGAGTGTGTGTTGACGCATAAGAGCGTGTTTTCGGCTCGTACGGAGAGCAAGGCCGCAGAGTTGCTAACTTTTAGTCCTAGTCGACCAGCAGTACATCCAGCACGCCCAAAAGATGTGCGTCACTGTTTCTATTGTCATAAGGTGGGACATATGGTTAATGATTGCTTTCTGCTAAAACGTAAACAGGGGATGCCTCAGCACGCCAGGCCGCCAACGGGTGTTGGGCTGATTCGTACGGTTTTTAAGGCCGGAATCAAGACCAAGGCCTCATAGTGAATGTGGTTTGAAAGTCCCTGTCCCAGTCCCAGATCACAGTTATGAACCGTTCATTTTTGAGGGGTTTGTTTCCATATCAGATGACGAAGCGTCTCAGCGTCCAGTTAGAATCCTCAGAGATACTTGTGCGGCGCAGTCGTTCATACTATCTGATGTGTTGCCCTTGTCCAATAATACATATTGTGGTTCCAGTGTGTTAGTACAAGGAATTGAACGTACACTGAGTTAGTCAGTGGATTGTTCAGAGTTGGAGTACGTCCTATGTTGCCAGTAAAAGGTGTGACATTTATAATGGGCAACGATATTGCCGGAGGAAAGGTGATACCCGTATTGGATAACAGTGACCAGTCTCTCTCCGAGGAGCTGGCACAGGGTTATCCAGATGTGTTCCCCGCTTGTGCTGTCACACGTGCTCAAGCATCGACAAGTGGGTGACGTGATAGATTTGTCGAACACGATTCTATTCAGAGAGTGTGACCCAGAGGATAGCTTGGGTGCTACCTCTGGTAAGCTGGTGCAGTCTGACCAACAGCCCAGAGAAAGGAAGAAGGATGTGGAACTTGTTGCTGAGGCAATACAGTTACCAGTCACTCGTGAGCAGCTGATCGCTAACCAGAAGGTTGACATTAGCCTGGCTAAATGTTTTTCTAGTGTTGTCTCAGAGGAGGAGCTAAAGAAGAAAAACATGGCATACTTCATTGATGGTAATCTCCTCATGCGTAAATGGACATCCCATGTTGACGCTGGCGGAGATTGGAATGCTGTTTACCAAATAGTGATTCCTACAGCCTTTCGACAAAATGTTTTATCCCTCGCTCATGATCACCAGTGGTCCGGACATCTGGGAGTCACCAAGACTTATGATCGGGTTTTGCGACATTTCTTTTGGCCTGGTTTAAAAACAAGATGTGGCTCAGTTCTGTCGGACTTGCCACACCTGTGAAGTAACTGGAAAACCGAACCAGGTTATTCCTCCCGCGCCTCTTTGTCCCATACCTGCCATAGGTGAACCAGAACCATTCGAACATGTGATGGTTGATTGTGTTGGACCATTACCTAAGACAAAATCTGGTAACCAGTTTCTGTTGACGATTATGTGGGTGGCCACCAGGTACCCAGAGGCCATTCCTCTGCGAAGGATTACTGCTCCGGTGGTGAGTAAAGCGTTGATCAAATTCTTCTCAACTTTTGGGTTACCTAAAGTGGTACAAACTGATCAGGGTACGAATTTCCTTTCTAAACTTTTCAAACAAGTGTTAAAATCCTTGTCAGTTACACACCGTGTGTCAAGCGCATATCACCAAGAGTCTCAGGGTGCGCTTGAACGTTGGCATCAGACACTGAAGTATATGCTCCGTAAATATTGCTTGGAATCTGAGAAGGATTGGGATGAGGGAGTTCCTCTAGTTTTGTTTGCTGTCCGTGAGACAGTACAGGAATCCTTAGGGTTCAGCCCAGCTGAACTGGTGTTTGGACACACCATGAGAGGACCTATGAAAGTCCTTAAGGATCAGTTTTTATCACAAGAGTTGTGTGTGAAAGAAAATGTGTTGGACTACATTAGTCGCTTTCGTGAGCGCCTACATGGTGCCTGTGCTCTAGCAAAGGAAACGCTGTCTTCCTCACAGAGACGGATGAAACGGCACTATGACAACCAGGCGGTTTCTCGTTCACTGCAGCCAGGTGACCAAGTTCTTGTATTGTTGCCTGTGCCAGGAGCGTAATTGTCAGCACATTTCTCTGGTCCTTATGTAATTGAAAAGAAACTAAGTGAAACTGACTACGTGATACAGACTCCTGATAGAAAACGCCAATCTCGTGTGTGTAACATTAACATGTTGAAGACATACCACACCCGACCCGTCACTCAGAGACAGTCCAGAGAAACTGGCCGAGTCGGCTGTCTCTATTGCTGCTACGGCTGTAGTGGGAGATCATGTTAATGATGTGGACGGAGATGGTTTGGAATTGCGCAATACTCAGCAGCAGTGTGCTAGATTGCCCAATTCAGAGATGCTGTCTCTCCCGTCAAGCCTGATTCATTTAATGGACGGACAGTCAGATGATATTGTGAGACTATTACACAGCTTTCCATGTCTTTTTAATGATGTTCCTACATGCACAAATGTGTTAGAACATGACATTAATGTTGGAAACGCTGCACCTATCAAGCAACATGCTTATCGTGTCAACGTCTCTAAAAGAAAGATAATGAGGGATGAGGTCGGGTATTTGCTGGAGAATAACCTGGCTATGCCAAGTTCAAGTCCTTGGAGTTCTCCATGCATTCTGGTTCCTAAACCTGATGGGACATCCAGGTTATGTACGGACTGTCAGAAGGTAAATGCTGTCACAGTGCCCGACTCGTTCCCGTTACCCAGACTGGATGACTGTATTGATACTGTTGGTGCTGCTACTTATGTAACCAAACTAGATCTTCTAAAAGGTTACTGGCAGGTGCCGTTAACCTCACGTGCCTCCGACATCTCTGCTTTTGTGACCCCAGATCACTTCCTACAGTATGCTGTCATGACATTTGGGATGCGGAACGCACCAGCCACTTTCCAACGCCTGGTTAACACAGTATTGGCTGGAGTTCCTAATTGTAGTGCTTACCTTGATGATCTGGTAATTTATTCATCTGAGTGGTCTGATCATGTTAACACTCTAAGGGTAGTGTGTGAACGTCTAGCAGCCGCTTCTCTAACCCTGAACTTAGCAAAGTGCGAGTTTGGGAAGGCCACTGTTACTTATCTCGGTAAACAGGTCAGCCATGGTCAGGTGCGCCCTGTAGATGCCAAGGTCTCAGCTATAAATGCATTTCCCGCACCTACTACCAGAAGAGAGCTACGCCGTTTTTTAGGGATGGTTGGCTACTACCGTAGTTTCTGTAAAAATGTATCTGCGGTAGTTGCTCCATTAATGGATTTGCTCAGTCCGGCGAGAAAATTTGTATGGTTTGAAGATTGTCGTACTGCTTTCAACACTGCTAAAGCACTCTTATGTAGTACTCCTGTTCTTGCTGCGCCAGATTTTGAACGACCGTTTAAACTGGAGGTAGATGCAAGTGCCAGAGGTGCTGGTGCTGTTCTACTGCAGCAGGACCAGAGTGGAGTGGACCATCCTGTCTGTTATTTTTCACGGAAATTTAACAAATGTCAGACAAACTATTCCACCATTGAACAAGAAGCTATAGCTTTGTTGTTAGCTCTGCAGTACTTTGAAGCTTATGTTGGTTCCAGTGCATTACCAGTGATGGTGTATACTGACCATAACCCCTTAGTTTTTCTCCACCGGATGTACAACCAGAACCAACGCCTTATGCGTTGGGCACTTGTAGTGCAAAATTATAATTTGGAGATCCGCCACAAAAAGGGGTCGGATAATGTGTTGGCAGATGCTTTGTCTCGTGTTTAGAGATCTAGATTTGTGTTTGTTATCCCGTCAGGATGCTGTTGATCTTTGAATTTTGGGTGTTGTGATGGTACGTGTGTCGCAAACCATTGTGGTTTGCTCTTTTAAGGGTGGGAGTGTTACGGATACAGATATCCTGTGTCTTTTTGTGTTTTTCCTCTCCTTCTGCCCTAATCACAGGTGTCCTGTATGTTCCTGATTGGTGGTCGTTGGAGTGTCTGCTGATTGCTGAGGTGGACCAATCAGTGGACATTCCTCTGCATTGCACCACCTGTTTCTGGTTTTTCAATCACACATCCCATTGTTTAAAAGCCAGTCAGTTGTGTTTGTAGAGAGAGACTATTTTCCGTATGTGAGTATGGATACTGTGGTGTTTTGTGTACTCACTCATTTGCTGGTTACTCTGTTTGGTAACTTTGTTAGAGACTATTTTCCGTATGTGAGTATGGATAGTGTGGTGTTTTGTGTACTCACTCATTTGCTGGTTACTCTGTTTGGTAACTTTGTTGTGTGTTTCTGGGAAAAGGGGAATTTAAGCAAGTTGCCCTTGGGCATACATTATCCGTAGGAAGAAAACTGTCTAAAAACACTAGTTAGACCTGAGCGGACCACCCACTGTAATTTTTTTATGATTAGCAGTAGCTTAGCTGTTCTTGAGGCAGGCAAGATCAGTTTAGTTTTTTTTTACACTTGTTTCATTTCTTGGGTCCTGCTCAGCCCTTTTTCCCAAACCTTTACCGTGTGTTCAAAAATAAACCTTTTATGTTTGACGGTAGTTTATGGTTGTCGTGTAGTTTTTGCTCTCACTGTTTCATGTCACGATTCTAATTTGCATGAATTATGTTACGGGTCTCTTGTCCATCCACCCTAGACGTTTAAAGCCACGGGGTTCGTAACCGCTAAACATGTATATAGGTAGTGAATGAAAAGTGTAGGGGTTTCTTTGCTTGAAAGACCTGGGTCATGTTCAGTTGAGGCACACTGTAGCAAAACATTTTTGCAACAGAAAATGTTGGTTGTGATAGGCTATACCTGTGTGTGGACCGTGGAAATGGATGTCACTTCAACGTTGAAAACCCCTCTGTGGTTATCCACCCATTTCATCCCAGGTAGAGAAACATCGGGGGGGAGGACAGCGTAGGACTGAGGAGGTTTCTCCAGAGACACAGGCAGACAGAAGTTTCCTGTACGCAAACGACCATTCTGCAGCATAGGAATCCACTGAGGAGACAGAGGAGGAAGGAGAGAAAGACAGATGATTAGGGCCTGAAAAGGCATGTGTGTTGTGTGCTCGTGTGTGTGACATGCCCGTGCACATGTGCGCAATGTTTGTGCATATGCGCGCACACGTGTGCACGTGTATATGTACAGTAGTTACCGTGTATCCCACGGGGGTCTCCAGGGGGGTGTTCTGTTTCTGCTGGCAGCTAACATGGTAGAAGGTGAACAGGATGTGGTGGTGGTCAGTCAGAGAGGCCGGCAGCTTGATCTTCACCTCATCACGGAAGTCTGGGGACCTGGGAAACACAACAACCATGACACACAGAGTTTAATTCATGGTTGGTTAGGGCTTTATAGAAATAAACGTCTGGGAAAGACAAAGATTATAGACATGGTTAGTGGGGTTTAGGGGTTAGGGCTGTATAGGAATAGACATCTAAAGGAGTATAGAGAAGTCAGGGAATCTGAGAAGCACAACAACCATTACAGTGTCATGGTCAGTTACGGCTGTAACAGAATAGGAATAAACATCTAAATGTCATGGTTAGTTAGAGCAGAGGTTTATAGGAATAAACAGCATATTAAAGACTGCAAAGAAAGAAGCAAGGGGTTTGCAGCTATAGAATAAACATCTAAATTAGTACAGAGAAGCAAGCCTTTTTCTCATGGAGATGACAAAATAGATTGTTTGTTTGTGGATAAAGGGTAGAAACATCCTTTGGAGCGAAGGAGCCGGAGCAACCTTTTCCGTAATGGGAAAGATAACATTATTGGATAGGCTGGGGGAATTAAACCACAAACATCCAAAGTTCAAAGGTGGAACCGTTCAAAATCTGTGATAAGGATTAACATAGTCAGAAAAGTTAACGCTAGAAAAGCCGAGAGCGTCATAACGACGCAAAACAAATGTACATTTTTTATTACTCTGCCATTTTTTAAATTCAAGTTCCTCCCTTCCTTGACTTTTCCTAAATAGATCTATAAAACACATTGTTGTTGTTAACATCTTAATATCAAACAGAATCTGTGTTATAAGCAGTTTTAAGAGGACATGTCATTCCACCCCCCTTTCATTGACGACCGAACAGCAAGTGTTGACTAGTTTATATAAGGTGTCAAACTGACTGAATAAAGTCAAACTACTACCGTATATTCCTTTGCCATTCAGAAATCATACAATGTAGTTATATGTCCATGGTATCCCACTGGGACAAGTAAACCAAAGATCTCATTTGTATTTTCCTAGGATATAAAATGTCGGGACTTGGCAGACAGTGATGCTAAAGTGAGTGACTCGTCAGTGTAGCCTACCAAATCGCATCGGTGAGAGCAGTTCATTTGGCTCCCTAACTTGCTTACTGGTAGGCTTTTTGGCGATTATCTGCAGATACATTATGAAAACATTCAATGAAGTGCAACAATAGGTAGTGACGAGAGAGCCTCATTCTGGTCTAAATATGATAGTGATACTTTATTAATTTCAGTCAAATCAGAAAGATATAATACTTAAGACTGATATAACCCTTTTATTTTTTAAATGTCGCCTTTAATTGATTTTTCAAGATAATGTGCCCTCAATTTTTCTGATTTAACAAAATACATAATTTGAAGAACAAACATTGTGGCAATTCATATCTTGCAGTAAAACTGCAAATAAGACTTTAATCTCAAAACAGGTTTAATGTTAAAGGTTTAATGTTCTCCACTTAGAAAATAGTCCTGATCATATAAACCTAGGCCTAGACGATATCCAAAAGAACAAACAATACACTGAATTCATAAATATTCAGTAAATAAAAATGTTATTTTACATTTAAATTGTATCGTCATGTCTTTCTACACAATACCACAACTCATTTTATCAATCTGGGCGGTAACCTTGATAAAGTATTAAATAACTTTGCTGTGTATTTTGGATGGAATCAAGGCATTAGAATGTACCAGAGGCCACCAAAATTGAGCGTGTTCTGTAAAACATTTTTTTTACCCGCGATGTGTAACTATGTTTCCCCCACCCATCACTACTAAGCATGACCATGTCCCAGATACATCTCTATATTAAATCATGATAAACTATGACAGTCAGATCATACAGAGAGGGGGAAGACCTGAGCACAAGGGCAACATCTGACAGAACAACCCTCAATTGGGTTACAGATTGAGCCTTCAGCTAACCCGTTATAACCCATACACTTTTTGGGGGGCTCAATTTCAGCCTCTTCAGAAAATCACATTCAAGACAATATGTGACCGACCGGCTCGATTCAGTCTTATATGTAGCAAAACTTTATTTATATTTTTTTATATTGGACAAAAGTAGTGACTGAGCTATAAAATGGTATATCATACATTGCAGTTGAGGAACAATGGCAAAGTAATTCTGCTTTGAAAGTTGATAAACTTGTAAACTCACTTTTGAGAAAATGGCCCTTGAATGTTTTGGTACACCTACTGGAGAGCTCGTCTTTTGTCGACGCCCATTCAGCATCGCTCACACCCTCTTAAGCCCTAGCCCCACCCATCTCTTTAAGGAGTCACATGTGAGGCCATGTACTAAACAACTAAAGATTTCAAGACTAAAGGCTGGTTTATACTACGGATGTGTTCGTAAATTCAAATCTGGAGTGCCAGAGTGCGCTCTGGGCATTCGTAAACTCAGAGCGTTGTCAGATTGTCCGTTCGTAAATTCAGAGCGTTTCGCTCTCGGAGCGTTCAGAGCGCACAATGCTCTGGCCAAGGAGTAGGATTGATCCGAGCGTTCTGACCTAACAACAGCAGTCAAGCACCCTAGCTAACTGGCTAATGTTGGCTAGCTTGCTAGCTACTTCCAGACACAAATGAGAGAACAGCTCACTCTGACCATTTTACTCGCCCTAGCAGAGCTGTTTAGGCTGTTTTTATGTTATCCAGAGCGTTGGTGACCGTAACTGTGATACTGGCAACAATTTAATTACGCTTTTTTGCCAACGTTTACTGACACCGGCCATATTAAATGGGTGTTGAGCGTTCGTAAATTCGTCAGATATTCTGTGCTCTGGCACACTCAGACGAGAGTGCTCTGAAATCGGAGTAGATAGCCAGAGCAAATTTACCAGCTACGTTATCGACAGTTGTCGCAGTGACATCATGAACATTCTATTGAAATGGTTACTTGCATAGTGGAGTCTTGTTTAGACATGTAGCTAGCTAGCTAAACAATTAACCATAATCCCAACTCATAATGTTACTACCCTGCATGAATCTGCAGGTAGCTAACCAACCAGTTCAATGTTAGCTAGCTAGCTAATATTAGGCTATAACTAGCAATGCAAATAGCTCTGCGATACAAATAATATTACTACACAGATCATAAACGTTACGTTAGCTAGCGAGCCAGTCAGCTAACGTTAGTTAGCTAGCTAACAGTACACTTTTACTTGAAATAAATGACTTTGACTAAATTAGAGACGTGTAATATATGAAAATGTAGCTAGCTAGACTATTTTACCCGTATAGTGCCTTCGGAAAGTACTCAGACCCCTTTACTTTTTCTACATTTTGTTACATTACAGCCTTATTCTAAAAAAGATTACATTGTTTTTTCCCCCTCATCAATCTACACACAATACCCCATAATGACAAACCAAAAACTGGTTTTTAGAATTCTTTGCAAATTAATAATAAAATAAAAAAACGGAAATATCACATTTACATAAGTATTCAGACCCTTTACTCAGTACATGTTGAAGCACCTTTGGCAGTGATTACAGCCTTGAGTTTTCTTGTGTATGACGCTACAAGCTCGGCACACATTTATTTGGCGAGTTTCTCCCATTCTTCTCTGCAGATCCTCTCAAGCTCTGTCAGGTTGGATGGGGAGCATCGCTGCACAGCTATTTTCAGGTCTCTCCAGAGATGTTCGATCGGGTTCAAGTCTGGGCTCTGGCTGGGCCACTCAAGGACATTCAGAGACTTGTCCCGAGGCCACTCCTGCGTTGTCTTGGCTGTGTGCTTAGGGTCGCTGTCCTGTTGGAAGGTGAACCTTCGCCCCAGTCTGAGGTCCTGAGTGCTCTGGAGCAGGTTTTCATCAAGGACCTCTCTGTACTTTGCTCCGTTCATCTATCCCTCGATCCTGACTAGTCTCCCAGTCCTTGCCGCTGAAAAAACATCCCCACAGCATGATGCTGCCACCATCATGCTTCACCGTAGGGATGGTGCCAGGTTTCCCAGTCCCTGCCGCTGAAAAAACATCCCCACAGCATGATGCTGCCACCATCATGCTTCACCGTAGGGATGGTGCCAGGTTTCCTCCAGACGTGACGCTTAGACCAAGGGACCCCCGATTGCTCAGTTTGGCCGGGCGGCCAGCTCTAGGAAGAGTATTGGTGGTTCCAAACTTCTTCCATTTAAGAATGATAGAGGCCTACTGTGTTCTTAGGGACCTTCAATGCTGCAGACATTTTTTGGTACCCTTCCCCAGATCTGTGCCTCGACACAATCCTGTCTCAGAGCTCTACGGACAATTCCATTGACCTCATGGCTTGGTTTTTGTTCTGACATGCACTGTCAACTGCGGGACCTTATACAGTGGGGAGAACAAGTATTTGATACACTGCCGATTTTGCAGGTTTTCCTACTTACAAAGCATGTAGAGGTCTGTAATATTTATCATAGGTACACTTCAACTGTGAGAGACGGAATTTAAAACAAAAATCCAGAAAATCACATTGTATGATTTTTAAGTAATTAATTTGCATTTTATTGCATGACATAAGTATTTGATCACCTACCAACCAGTAAGAATTCCGCCTCTCACAGACCTGTTAGTTTTTCTTTAAGAAGCCCTCCTGTTCTCCACTCATTACCTGTATTAACTGCACCTGTTTGAACAAGTTACCTGTATAAAAGACACCTGTCCAAACACTCAATCAAACAGACTCCAACCTCTCCACAATGGCCAAGACCAGAGAGCTGTGTAAGGACATCAGGGATAAAATTGTAGACCTGCACAAGGCTGGGATGGGCTACAGGACAATAGGCAAGCAGCTTGATGAGAAGACAACATCTGTTGGCCCAATTATTAGAAAATAGAAGAAGTTCAAGATGATGGTCAATCAACCTCGGTCTGGGGCTCCATGCAAGATCTCACCTCGTGGGGCATCAATGATCATGAGGAAGGTGAAGGATCAGACCAGAACTACACGGCAGGACCTGGTCAATGACCTGAAGAGAGCTGGGACCACAGTCTCAAAGAAAACCATTAGTAACACGCTACGCCGTCATGGATTAAAATCCTGCAGTGCACGTAAGGCCCCCTGCTCAAGCCAGCGCATGTCCAGGCCCGTCTGAAGTTTGCCAATGACCATCTGGATGATCCAGAGGAGGAATGGGAGAAGGTCATGTGGTCTAATGAGACAAAAATAGAGCTTTTTGGTCTAAACTCCACTCGCCGTGTTTGGAGGAAGAAGAAGGATGAGTACAACCCCAAGAACACCATCCCAACCGTGAAGCATGGAGGTGGAAACATCATTCTTTGGGGATGCTTTTCTGCAAAGGGGACAGGACGACTGCACCGTATTGAGGGGAGGATGGATGGGGCCATGTATCGCGAGATCTTGGCCAACAACCTCCTTCCCTCAGTAAGAGCATTGAAGATTGGTCGTGGCTGGGTCTTCCAGCATGACAACGACCTGAAACACACAGCCAGGGTAACTAAGGAGTGGCTTCGTAAGAAGCATCTCAAGGTCCTGGAGTGGCCTAGCCAGTCTCCAGACCTGAACCCAATAGAAAATCTTTGGAGGGAGCTGATAGTCCGTATTGCCCAGCGACAGCCCCGAAACCTGAAGGATCTAGAAAAGGTCTGTATGGAGGAGTGGGCCAAAATCCCTGCTGCAGTGTGTGCAAACCTGGTCAAGACCTACAGGAAACGTATGATCTCTGTAATTGCAAACAAAGGTTTCTGTACCAAATATTAAGTTCTGTTTTTCTGACGTATCAAATACTTATGTCATGCAATAAAATGCAAATTAATTACTTAAAAATCATACAATGTGATTTTCTGGATTTTTGTTTTAGATTCCGTCTCTCACAGTTGAAGTGTACCTATGATAAAAATTACAGACCTCTACATGCTTTGTAAGTAGGAAAACCTGCAAAATCGGCAGTGTATCAAATACTTGTTCTCCCCACTGTATAGACAGGTGTGTGCCTTTCCAAATCATGTCCAATCAATTTAATTTACAACAAGTGGACTCCAATCAAGTTGTAGAAACATCTCAAGGATGATCAATGGAAACAGGATGCACCGGAGCTCAATTTTGAGTCTCATAGAAAATGGTCTGAATACTTATGTAAATAAGGTTTTTCAGTTGTTGTTTTTTAAATACATTTTAAAAATTCTAAAAACCAGTTTTTGCTTTGTCATTATGGGGTATTGTGTGTAGATTGATGAGGAAAACATGTATTTAATCAATTTTAGAATAAGGCTGTAACGTAACAAAATGAGGAAAAAGTCAAGGGGTCTGAATACTTTCCGAATGCACTGTACAAGGATGGACGTTTCTCCCTCTCTGTCACGGATGCCATGGTTGCCCTTAGTTTGAAGATGTTATCCGGAGACAGGTGTTTTATACAACAGCCTTCTGTGTGTTCTCTTTTCGACCCCCTCTGCATATTTGCAATCAAACACCAGAATGTTCTCCATCTCCTTAGCTATCATACTCTAATTCCACCGGAGAGCAATACTTTTGCTTTTTGCAGTTCTACTACGTCATATCTTTCAAAAAAGCCACGTTAGAAAGGATTACCTACAAATACTGACCAGCTCATGTTATTGACAGAAGCGTGCTACATGGCAGACCAATCCGAACTCATCTCTCGGCATGTCCAGACCACCCATTATCTCAGCCAATCATGGCTAGCAGGAAGGTTCCTGTCTTTTTGGTGGCTAAACCAACTAGGCTCGTAATTTAACAATGTTATTCGTATTTACAGATGGCATACAAGTTTGTTATTAAGGCACATGAAAGTTCACATGTTCTAGAAGGCATTTCTGCCCAAAAACGCATTTTGAAGAAAATTAAAAAATGACGTTCAAATGGCTGTCCTGTGACGCGCGACATACACCTAGTTTCCTGAAACGAGTCACATATGAGCTTGTTAGCGTACTCAGTGTATTAGTGTATTACTCATCATCACTTTCTTACCTACCAGTTAAACCTGATGCCAGAGAACTTGTGAAGTTGCCTAATTGTAATGTAAACTAATTTCAACCTATATTTCCCGTCATATTTAAATACTTCTTTTAAGAAAGGCCCTAAGCACACTTCATACAAAATGGAAACATCAGTGAATTGAGCTGGATCTGAGCGCCTCACCTGTTATGATACACTACAGCAGTGTATGCTTCTTTGGCGTAGTCTGCACAGCTGGACTTGCCAAAAATCACCTGGGGAAGAGAGACGAGAAAGAAACTTAGATGAAGTACAGCAGACGGGTTGAATTACAGAGGACCAGAGGAAGAGAGGCAAGTGGACAGACTTCTGTTTGTCTGCATGTGTTAAAATGATGTGTACTTTAGTAACAGAACTCAAATATATTTGAACACCATTCTTCACAATCCACTTCCAAGAAATCAGTCTAGGATTGTGCAGCAGTACCTGGTAAAGTACTAAAATACACTAATAACTCGAACAAGCATTCTCGTGGGAGGGTGGGCTAAGAATAATTCTTATGGGTGGGTGGGTGGGTGGGCTAAGAAGAATTATTGTGGGTGGGTGGGCTAAGAAGCATTCTCTTGGGTGGGTGGGCTAAGAAGCATTCTCGAGTGTGTGTGCGTGTCATTGGTTACCGGCATTGCGTTGTTAGGGTCCTCCCCGTTCATGAACTGCACTTTCACTGTGATGTTCCGGGCGGAGCCTTGACGGTTGGCGAAGTTCAGGCTGTGTGGGTTCACATACAGCAGGTTCCTGAAACACACAAATTTACATTCAAGTCATTTAGCAGACGCTCTTATCCAGAGCGACTTACAAATTGGTGCATTCAATTTAGGATTGCCAGTGGGACAACCCCCCCCCCTTTTTTTTATGGGGGGGTGGGGGAGGGGGGTAGAAGGATTACTGTTATACTATTCCAGGTATTCCTTAAAGAGGTGGGGTTTCAAGTGTCTCCGGAAGGTGGTCAGTGACTCCGCTGTCCTGGCGTCGTGGGGGAGCTTGTTCCACCATTGGGGTGCCAGAGCAGGGAATAGCTTTGACTGGGCTGAGTGGGAACTGTGCCTCCGAAGAGGTAGGGGGGCTAGCAGGCCAGAGGTGGATGAACGTAGTGAAACCAAACCGCCATCCGTCAAACAGTAACACATGAACTCAACTGACATAGCAGCACCGTTGATACTGTATGTCTTTGTTGAAAAGCTTCGAGAAATTTAACAACATTGTCCCCTCATGTCCTTAGGACATTACATACCTCCTACATATAATGTACTGAATATAACACCTGTACAGTACTATCAATAGGTCAGTGATTGGAGTGAGCAAGGCCATCAGGGTAGGCCTCTGTGGCCACTGACTGGTGGAGAAGGGAGGCTCGTCCTGTCAATCACTCTGGATCCAAGCCATCTACATCCTCTGCTGGGCTGGATGGGGGGGGGGGGGGGCACGGGGGCAACATTGCCTTACTGCACTGTACCACTGCAGAGGGAAGTTGCATTAATGCCATGGCCAACTGCGCATGTTCAATACCGTCAGAGGTATAATGTCCATCTAAACAGCCGATGAAAGATATGTAACTTGGACAGATATTTTCCATCAAAGAAAATTGTCTATAGTGGCAATTGGACAATATTGTGGTAGCCTATAGGTCCAAAAGTTGATGTTTAAAAAAGTCCTCTCTTCTCCACAGGCAGTAAGCAGCGTGGCTTCAGTTAACACTAGAAAGGCAAAGTGTCAATGTATTACTCTGCCATTTTTAAAGTCATGGTATGAAGTATAATGCCATTATTGCTTTTGTGCTGATTTTCACTATTCACAAGCACACTTGGCGCTTATACTGATGTTTAGTCTACTGATATTTTCTTGATTTGACCGGGGGTCTTGCTGACCGTGCGTCTTGGTGGTTTGGGTATTTTTATTTGTTATGTTGTTATAAAAATAAGCTTGTACTCTGTTCCAACACACATGCTTTATGTTTCATAGTTGTAACAAATGAACACTCCATGAAATAACATTTATTTTACGCTAGAAATTGTGTTTTTAATGGTTTTTCATTTTTACATATAGCCTACAGTAACAAACTAATGAACATGTTACATTATTTCAAATATGTTTTTTTTTCAGTCACACTATTTGGATAGTCCATCAGTAGATGCTCTACAGATGGTTGGGGTTAAGGTTACGGTTGGGATAAGGTTAGGGTTAGGACAAGGGTTAGTAGATAGTTAGTTGAAATGTAACTGATAGTATGTAGATAGTCCATCTGTAGATGCATTAGACCATTTTTCGTATTCTAATGTTACCTAAGACCTTCATAAACACAAACAAATAATGGCATATATGAAATCTATTTATTAGACTGTTAGAATTTTGAAAAGACGTGTCATTGGCACGAAGGGTGGTCCAATGAGGCCAGGCTTTTCTAGTGTTAACGAGCTGGACACACATGGTTTAGGGTTTCCAGGGTTACGACCACAGGACGTCCGAGGCAGCCGCAGCGCCCTGACCACATTGACGTAGATTCCGCCGCAGGGGAGGGTCCCCCAGCACCGCAGCTGTGATGACAAAACGGCTGAAACCGTGGGAATCCCTCATCCTTTCTCTCTCGGTTCATCTCCCTCACTCACTATCTATCTCAGTTCCTCTCCCTTTTTCCCCTCCCTCCATCTTACTAGCTGGTCACGTGTCTCCATGAAGGCGGAAAGCTGGATTATATTTTTTCCAACTTGATTGTTCTTCGAGGCACCCATGCTGATTTTAGAATGATGTCATTGCATTACAATAACCCCCAGGAAAAAGCTATTCTTACACACATACGGACCAGATACAGCTCCCTTTTCAGCACAGGGCCAATTCTCTCATATTGGTCCTTCAGCCTCAACAGATTCATCTCAGATTAAGCAATTATTTGACTCCGAGTAGCTGCATAGCCAAACCAAGCCTAAGCACTGTTTCAGAGTCACACAGTCAGCACTTGTCTCCCACTGTAGGCCTACTACATGTCCCAATGTGAATATTGGACCCTGTCTGTGCTCCCCACAGATTTAGGAAGGAGAACATTACATTTACATTTTAGTCATTTAGCAGACGGTCTTATCCAGAGCGACTTACAGTTAGTATATAGGGAGTAAGGAATCATGTAGCCAGCTTTAAGCTAAGCAAGCACAGCTCAGAATCAGATAGGAACGGTGTTTGTTCAGAAACCTATATTTACTAAGGACATATTGCAGCCAGGGTCTCTGTACTGTATGAACAAATAGCCAGTGTATCTGCATTTTCTATGAACTATGAACATTACTATGCACTAGAGCAGGGATGGGCAACTTTGATGGGGATGGGGGGCCACCAAAAAATCTGAACTCATCATGAGGGGCCGCAGTTGCTCGCGAGTCTGCGTACTACACACTTTGCAATGGGGCGGAGAGGGAAATTAGGTGTTTTACAGCTCATTTCCTGCAGTTGTACACATTTTGCCATTGGGTGGAGAACAATGTTAGTTTTTATTAAGATATCTGAGTGAGAATGACTAATAAAATCCATGGGGACCCCCCGGCCGGTAATTTGACCATGATAACAAATTTAGATAGCTGGCCGCTAAACTAACTTAGTAATCTAAAATAAATTAGCTGGCATGGGCTAATTTACTGACTGTCAGAGACTTTTAGGGGGTGGGGGGCATTTACAGGAAACATAAATGCTAAAGCAACTTCTGACAAAGGAGAAGCTAACTACCTCTCCACAATGTGTCAGCAAGTAACTCTGTTGAAGGGAAGTTGCTGTCCATCAATCTTCCCTCATTATGTACTGGTGTTTTATTTGAAACTTTTTGGGACCCCTAAATAAAGTATAGCCATCTCTTTTCAGTTGGATAAACAACCTAAAAAGCCAAAGTTGCTAAAAAGTGCTTGAGGCCCCCCAACTCTCTGCACCCACCCACCTATACACCTAATAAAATATACAGTAGAATAGGCCTAATATGATTTAGAGTCACTGAACCACACTGAAACATGCTGTCGAGCCAGTTTGGCCAAAATCTCAACATAGTCAGATTATTGGGAGCATTAAAATAATCTTGGCTAAGTAGGACCAACAAAGGATGCTCACAAAGACAGCACTGTCAGATTACAGAACTAGAATAGTCAAATACGGCAACAGAAGGCCACAACAATTTAGGCCCACCTTCATAATCATCATTAGTGGATGCTTGGAATTGTACAGTAACGATATAGTGGATATGGAACGACCAGCCAAGAACAAACCACGGACTAGGAATTCCTATTAAAAGTGGTTAATTAAAATAAATCTTTAGATAGATCAGAAAGACTAGACTACATTAAATCAGTATAGAAAGATCAAACAAAACCAAGTTGAGTTCACAGTCGTCTAAATTTAGCACATTATTCTCCCCCAATGCAAACTACAGCAAAACCCATAGCAATGATGACATCCACCTGCCTTCCTCAGTACATACAGCACACCTCATCTAGACCCAGCAAGAGGGACCTGAGAGAGTGATGCTGGGCTGATTCAGCAGGACGTTAAATAAAACCCAGAGACATCAATTGCGTGCCATATTATGAATCCATCAAAACTCTGATGGCCTTCCACTGTTGGCTTTCTGCTGATCAGCTAAAGCAGGGTACTGCAGATGGAGGCTGGGTGGGGTGTGGTGGGGGATTTGCGAGGTTAAGGGGGAGGGGGGCGAGCTGTCGTGCTAAAGGGGTGTATTTGCTATTCGCTCACTGCAGTGATTTGTTTGTTCTTGGAGGGAGGGGGTTGAGGGGGCCCCGAGGGGATTTCAGGGGGCACAGCAGCTCAAGCATAGCAGGACTTAATGATCAACTAATCTACCCTCCCCTTGCTGGACTGGGGTATATAACACAGGCCTGCCTGCTGCGCTCACATCTTTCTAGCAGAGTGACAGAGAGAGAGGTAGAGGGAGAGAGAGAGAAAGAGGTGTACAGACAAACGGAGAGTGAAAGTAGGGCAGCGGAAGGAAGAACAGAGAGACTACTTCTTGCTATTCCACGATTGCTGAGAGAGATTTGACCATGAAGTTCATCTGCCTCTTGTTCCTGGTGGGTGTGTCTATAGTTCAGGCAGCTCATCAGGACTCCTCCAGGGTCTACTCCACCGTACCCTCTCAACTCCAGCCCCAGACGCAGCCTCCAGCCGAGGCCAAGTCCCGCTTTGCCATGCTGGACGATGTCCGTCTCCTTGCCAACGGCTTGCTCCAACTGGGTCAGAGCCTCAGGGAGTTTGTCCACAAGACCAAGGCCCAGATCAACGACATCTTCCAAAAACTCAACATCTTTGACCGCTCCTTCTACCAACTCTCTGTGGTCACCTCTGAGATAAAGGAGGAAGAGGAGGAGCTGAAGAAGACCACCACATTCCTCAAGGCCAACAACGAGGAGATCCGGAACCTGTCGCTGGAGATCAACTCCAAGATCAACAGTATCCTGCAAGAGAGGAGCCAGCTGCAGAGTAAAGTAGGAGGGCTGGAGGAGAAACTGAAGGGACTGTCGGAGAGCATGTTGCCCGCAGAGCAGCTCAACGAGATCAAGTCACTCAAGGTACGCTGCTAACTGTCACTCATATTAAATCAGTACTGAGATTTCTGATTTATTTCTGGCACACGTATTCAACATATATAAAAATATAAAATTCCATCCTACTGAACATTGCATCGAACTTTCAATTGCTGAATTCATTGAGAAGTTTAAGTTATTAATGAAAACATACCTTTTTAATGAGTAGTAATGATTTCAACTTCAAGTTATTCCATTGGGAAATGTATTTTAATGTGAGCATTAACGAGACCGTGTTAACTGGTCTGTTTCAGGATGTGATTGAGGCTCAGGAGAGGACCATCACGGACCTGCTGAAAGCTGTGAGGGAGCAGCACGATCAGCTCAACCACCAGAAAACTAAGATCAAGACTCTGGAGGAAAAGGTACACATCTCTGTTGCTTACAAAGATTCTCCAATTGTATACAGTAGACCAAAGGTAATGGCCATTTCTTTCATCTCTGTTCAATCAGTGTACATAAAGGCCACAAAAAATATTTAAGGAGACAACACCATAACGTTTTTATTTTTGCCTGATATTCCAGATCAGCATTGACAATTTCCAGGACACGACTGACAATGCAGCGGATTCCAACTCGGAGACGCCAGACATGTTTGAATACCTGAAAGGCAACTCCACTGGTCTGGACACAGACCTATCCATGGACTGCAGTGATCTGTTCAACAGAGGAGAGAGGAACAGCGGGGTGTACTCTATCAAGCCAAACCAGTCTGAGCCTTTCAACGTGTACTGTGAACTGACCTCAGGTAAGACACAATCCAGTCCCAAATTCTCAGCCAACTATGTGACAGTAATGTGTCAAGCCATTTCTCTGCATTACATATGTCTAAATGGACTTAGTCTAGATAAAACAAGACAAAACAGACTAGCAGAATCCAGTCTATAGGAAACAGGGTCATACAGGCTATCGGAAGTAAATAAGTGCTATCTACGACTTTCCCTAATCAGTCTAGAGAAAGGAACTGGACTTTGTTGTTGTTGTTGTTGTTGTTGTGTTTCTCTGTCCATGTATTGACTACATGTCCCATCTCCCCCATCTACAGAAGGAGGTTCAACAGTCATCCAGAGCAGGGAGGACGGGTCTGTGGATTTTGACCAGGCATGGGAGAAGTACGAGAACGGATTTGGGGATCTGGGAAGTTAGTTTGGCTTATTTCTTTCTATCAGTGAATTTAGTCAGTGATGCGGACAGTAGCGTCCGACCGATATGTTTTTTGGGGTTCGATACAGATTCTGATTTTTGGGGGAGAAAACGTACATACTGCCAATATACTGCAGGGAAATGAAAAAGTGTAATTTTCCCCACTGAATTATCATATATTGCCATCCAAATGAGTAATTGTCCAATAACTATGCTTCAAATGTTGATTACATACATTGTGACAATAATGACATCATGGGAATTGCTGCAAGCATTTTTCATCCTATTTATTGAATATCGGTTATCGTTGGACTTATCGGCCAATACCGATATAGCGGTAAAAGGCCAATATGTCAAGCCGATAATATCGTTGAACCGATATATCGGTCGGGATCTAGTAGACAGTCAATACATCTCTACCCATAAAGATAAAAAACGAATTATATATTTATGGCTCAATTCAACTCAACTGCAAGCACCAATACCTGATTATGCCTGTCTATCCTGATTCCAGTCTACAAAGGCCTGTAGGCATTCATAAAGCAGGAAACAGCCAATACAACCACACTCCACCACTCTTAAGTACTTCCTGAAAGAACAGCGGACAGGAAACAGTTATTGTAAGTTAGCTTATCAGGTACCCATTGAAAGATCGACTTCCTCCATTGTCTGACTAGACAAAGCAATAGTTGCACTTAACTTCAGCTAGGCTTGGACCCCAGCTCATAGGCATATAGTCCTACTGCATTCCAACAATGCCACAGGTCCTTTAAGCTATGAATTGTTCAGTGTCAGTTTCTGTCACTGCTACGAGCCTAATTATGTCATCACACCCATGACTACAGCATGCAGCCAGGGGCTAGGGAAAAGAGTATTGAGTGTCAGAACTTGTCCCACACTATTTTAAAACGAGTCATGGGCCATGGCATACAGAACAAAATGAAGTAGTTAGGCCTATAGAATCTGAACTGGACTTGGCTGTCCATTACAGCTTTACAGCTCTATGGCCATTTGATGGCATTGTACAGTACCAGTCAAAAGTTTGGACACATCTACTCACTCAAGGGTTTTTCTTTATTTTTACTATTGTCTACATTGTAGAATAATAGTGAAGACATCAAAACTATGAACTAACACATATGGAATCATGTAGTAACCAAAAAATTGTTACACAAATCAAAATATATTTTAGATTTTTCAAAGTAGCCACCCTTTGCCTTGATGACAGCTTTTCACACTCTTGGCATTCTCTCAACCAGCTTCACCTGGTTGGTGTCGATAGAGAGGGCGGCGGTGATCCTAGCTCCTAGTTAACTTTGCAGCATTTTGTTTTTTTATGTGTTATTTCTTACATTAGCCCAGGAATTTTTTGTAACAGCCGGGAAGAACTTTTGGATATCAGAGCAGCGGTAACTCACCAGCATTACCAGCATTACGACTTTCCCGAATCGGATCCTTTGTTCGTACCCCCCAGGGCAATTTAACTGATCCCAAAGGCTGACCCAAAACATTGCCAGCAGAGAAGAGGTATTTTGGAGTGGTCTTCTAGTCCGACTCAGGAGGCGCGCACACCACCCACAAGTATATTACTCGCTAATGTTCAGTCTCTGGATAATAAAGTTGACGAGCTCCGGGCAAGGATTTCCCTCCAGAAAGACAATAAGGATTGTAACATCCTCTGTTTCACGGAAACATGGCTCTCTCGGGATATACTGTCTGAGTCCGTACAGCCAGTTGGGTTCTCAGTTCATCGAGCAGACAGGAAAAAATATCTCACCGGGAAGAAGAAGGGCGGGGGTGTTTGTTTCATGATTAACTACTCATGGTATGATTGTGATAACATACAGGAACTCAAGTCCTTTTGTTCACCCGACCTAGAATACCTCACAATCAAGTGCCGACCGTATTACCTCCCAAGAGAATTTTCCTTGGTTATAGTCACAGCCGTGTATATTCCCCCTCAAGCCGATACCACGACGGCCAGCAAAGAACTCCACCGGACTTTATGCAAACTGGAAATCACATATCCTTAGGCCGCATTTATTGTAACTGTGGATTTTAACAAAGCAAATTTGAGAAAAACGCTACAGAAGTTCTATCAACACATTGACTGTAGTACTCGCGCTGCTAAAACACTCGACCACTGCTCCTCCAATTTCCGGGACGCCTACAAGGCCCTCCCTTTGGCAAATCTGACCACGACTCCATTTTTCTCCTCCCTTCCTATATGCAAAAACTCAAACAGGAAGTACCAGTGCTAAGGTCTATTCAACACTGGTCTGATCAATCGGAATCCACGCTTCAAGATTGTTTTGATCACGCGGACTGGGATATGTTCTGGGTAGCCTCCAATAATAACAGACGTATACACTGATACGGTGACGGAGTTTATCAGGAAGTGTATATGAGATGTTATACCCACTGTGACTATTAAAACCTACCCTAACCAGAAACCGTGGATAGATGGCAGCATTCGCGCAAAACTGAAAGCGCGAACCACAGCATTTAACCATGGCAAGGTGACTGGGAATATGGCAGAATACAAACAGGGTAGTTATTCCCTCCGTAAGGCAATCAAACAGGCAAAACGTCAGTACAGAGACAAAGTGAGGTCACAATTCAACGGCTCAGACACGAGACTTATGTGGCAGGGTCTACAGACAATCACGGACTACAAAGGGAACACCAGCCACGTCACCGACACCGACGTCTTGCTTCCGGACAAGCTAAACACCTTCTTCGCCCGCTTTGACGATAACACAGTGCCATCGACGAGGCCCGCTACCAAGGACTGTGAGCTCTCCTTCTCCGTTGCCGACGTGAGTAAGACATTTAAGCGTGTTAACCCTTGCAAGCCTGCCAGCCCAGACGGCTACCCTAGCCGCGTCCTCAGAGCAAGCGCATACCAGCTGGCTGGAGTGTTTACGGATATATTCAATCTCTCCCTAACCCAGTCTGCTGTCCCCACTTGCTTCAAGATGTCCACCATTGTTCCTGTACCCAAGATATCAAAGGTAACTGAACTAAATGACTATCGACCCGTAGCATTCACTTCTGTCATCATGAAGTGCTTTGAGAGGCTAGTTAAGGATCATATCACCTCTACCTTACCTGACACCCTAGACCCACTTCAATTTGCTTACCGCCCCAATAGGGCGGTATGTGTGCAGTGCAATTACCATCGTACCGCACACTGCCCTATCCCATCTGGACAAGAGCAATACCTATGTAAGAATGCTGTTCATTGACTATAGCTCAGCATTCAACACCATAGTACCCTCCAAGCTCATCATTAAGCTCGAGGCCCTGGGTCCTGTACTTCCTGACAGGCCTCCCCCCAGGTGGTGAAGGTAGGAAACAACACCTCCACTTCACTGACCTCAACACTGGGGCCCCAAGCCTCCAACTTAATCATCAAGTTTGCAAACGGCAGTAGTAGACCTGATTACCAACAATGACGAGACCGCCTACAGGAAGGAGGTGAGGGCCCTAGGAGTGTGGTGCCAGGAAAATAACCTCTCAATCAACGTCAACAAAACAAAGGAGCTGATCGTGGACTTCAGGAAACAGCAGAGGGTGCACCCCCTTATCCACATCGACGGGACTGCAGTGTAGAAGGTGAAAAGTTCCTCGGCTCAACAGCGCCTCTTCAACTTCAGGAGGCTGAAAAATTTTTGCTTGGCACCTAAAACCCTCACAAACTTTTACAGATGCACAATTGAGAGCATCCTGTCGGGCTTTATCACCGCCTGGTACGGCAACTGCACTGCCCGCAACCGCAGGGCTCTCCAGATGGTGGTGCAGTCTGCCCAACGCATCATCGGGGGCAAACTACCTGCCCTCCAGGACACCTACAGCACCCGATGTCACAGGAAGGCCAAAAAGATCATCAAGGACAACAACCACCTGATCCACTGCCTGTTCACCTCGCTATCATCCAGAAGGCGAGGTCAGTACAAGTACATCAAAGCTAGGACCGAGAGACTGAAAAACAGCTTCTATCTCAAGGCCATCACTAGCACATTAGAGGCTGCTGCCCTATATACAGACTTGAAATCATGGGCCACTTTAATAAATGGAACACTAGTCACTTTCATAATGTTTACATATTTTGCATTACTCATCTCAAATGTATATACTGTATTCGATTCTGTTCTACTGAATTTTAGTCTATGCCACTCTGACATTGCTCGTCCAAATATTTATATATTCTTAATTCCATTCCTTTACTCTAGATTAGTGTCTACTGTTGTGAATTTGTTAGATATTACTTGTTAGATATTACTGCACTGTTGGAGCTAGAATCACAAGCATTTCGCTACAGCCGCAATATCATCTGCTAAACACGTGTATGTGACCAATACAATTTGATTTGATTTGACCTGGAATGCTTCTTCAACAGTCTTGAAGGAGTTCCCACATATGCTGAGCACTTATTGGCTGTTTTTCCTTCACTCTATGGTCCAACTCATCCCAAACCATCTCAATTGGGTTGAGGTCAGGTGATTGTGGAGGCCAGATCATCTGATGCAGCACTCCATCACTCTCCTTCTTGATCAAATAGACCTTACACAGCCTGGAGGTGTGTTGGATCATTGTCCTGTTAAAACAAATGATAGTCCCACTAAGCGCAAACCAGATGGGATGGCGTATCGCTGCAGAATGCTGTGGTAGCCATGCTGGTTAAGTGTGCCTTGAATTCTAAATAAATCACTGACAGTGTCACCATCACACCACCTCCTCCATGCTTCACGGTGGGAACCACACATGCGGAGATCATCTGTTCACCTACTCTGCATCTCTCAAAGACACGGCGTGTTTGGAACCAAAAATCTCAAATTTGGACTCATCAGAACAAAGGACAGATTTCCACCGGTCTAATGTCCATTGCTCGTGTTTCTTGGCCCAAGCAGGTCTATTCTTCTTATTGGTGTACACTTTAGTAGTGGTTTCTTTGCAGCAATTCGACCAATTAAGGCCTGATTCACTCAGTCTCCTCTGAACAGTGGAAGTTGAGATGTGTCTGTTACTTGAACTATGTGAAGCATTTATTTGGGCTGCAATTTCTGAGGCTCGTAACTCTAATGAACTTATTCTCTGCAGCAGAGGTAACTCTGGGTCATCCTTTCCTGTGGCGGTCCTCATGAGAGCCAGTTTCATCATAGCGCTTGATGGTTTTTGCGACTGCACTTGAAGAAACTTTCAAAGTTCTTGACATTTTCCAGATTGACTGACCTTCATGTCTTAAAGTAATGATGGACTGTCGTTTCTCCTTACTTATTTGAGCTGTTCTTCCCATAATATGGACTTGGTCTTTCACCAAATAGGGCTATCTTCTGTATACCACCCCTACCTTGTCACAACACAACTGATTGGCTCAAACACATTAAGAAGGAAAGGAATTTCACAAATTAAAGGCACACCTGTTAATTGAAATGCATTCCAGGTGACTACCTCACTAAGCTGGTTGAGAGAATGCCAAGAGTGTGAAAGGTGTCATCAAGGCAAAGGGTGGCTACTTTGAAGAAACTCAAATATAAAATATATTTTAATTTGTTTAACACTTTTTTGGTTACTACATGACTCCATACGTGTTATTTCATAGTTTTGATGTCTTCACTATTATTCTACAATGTAGAAAATAGTATTAAAGAAAAACCCTGGAATGAGTAGGTGTGTCCAAACTTTTGACTGGTACTGTATGTGTTTGTGATCTGTTCAAGTAGAGTTCTGACATCATTTGTGTGTGATCTGTGTTATTATAGACGTGTTCTAACAGAATGTGTGTGTTCTCTGTGTGTGGTAGCTCTATGGCCATTCAATGACATTTGTGTGTGTTCTCTGTGTTATTGTAGGAGAGTTCTGGCTGGGCCTGAGGAAGATCCACAGCCTTGCTGGTCAGGGTGAATCTATCCTGCGTATTGAGCTGGAGGACTGGAAGGAGGAGAGGAGGTCTATAGAGTACAAGTTCACCCTGGAGGGTCCCCAGGCCCACTACACCCTCCACCTCACCCACCTGTCTGGTGACCTGCCTGACGCCATGGGCAACCACACCGGCATGAGGTTCTCAACCAAGGACAGAGACAACGACAACCACCAGGACTCCAACTGCGCCAAAAACTACACAGGTATGTATTGACCACACACACCTGATGCAACTACAGGTACTGACAACACATTTGATACAGGTTCACTGCATTGTCTGGTAGCATACACCTATTAAAATACATTTCCAAGCCGGCAGCACAGAGATTGACTATGGGTTCTAGACTTGTTATATAATTTAACACATTCTTTCCCCATTCCTTGCAGGTGGCTGGTGGTTCAATGCCTGTGGCGACACCAACCTGAACGGCAGGTACATGTGGCTGAGGCCAAAGGGTCGTTCCATGAGGAGGAAAGGGATCCACTGGAAACCTATGGGAACATCCTACTCCCTCAAGACCACCAAGATTTCCATACGACCCGCCTCACCGGCCCCCCTCACTTCAAGCCCCCCTTAACCTCGTCCCACCTACATTACACCTCGTTGGAATGGCAACAACAAATACACCCCCTCTCGCCGGAACCATCCACTGACCCACCCTCCCATTACACATTGTTGGCATGGTAACAACAGATAGAGCAGTTGTTGGCAGCAGAAAAAATTCAGCCGCCAATAACAGCCAGCCACCAATTTGCATGACAGAGAAAATAAGCTGATTCGTCAGAATGATGCAACAGCAGTCAGCCAGTCAGTGACCTCACAAATGTTCCAGAAACACAAATAGAGTTGGGTAACAACTGGGAGGGGAGATCGGTTTCATAAGAGCCAAGTTTTGTTTTGGTCAGGATGGAATGTCAGATGATTCAACACTGTCTATCCTGGTCTGCAACCCATCCCAGCACTGAGAAGTTCGGCTACTTTCAATGGGTGAAAAAAATGATTCAATTACAGTGGGGGAAAAAAGTATTTAGTCAGCCACCAATTGTGCAAGTTCTCCCACTTAAAAAGATGAGAGAGGCCTGTCATTTTCATCATAGGTACATGTCAACTATGACAGACAAAATGAGAAAAAAAAATCCAGAAAATCACACTGTAGGATTTTTAATTAATTAATTTGCAAATTATGGTGGAAAATAAGTATTTGGTCACCTACAAACAAGCAAGAGTTCTGGCTCTCACATACCTGTAACTTCTTCTTTAAGAGGCTCCTCTGTCCTCCACTCATTACCTGTATTAATGGCACCTGTTTGAACTTGTTATCAGTATAAAAGACACCTGTCCACAACCTCAAACAGTCACATTCCAAACTCCACTATGGCCAAGACCAAAGAGCTGTCAAAGGACACCAGAAACAAAATTGTAGACCTGCACCAGGCTGGGAAGACTGAATCTGCAATAGGTAAGCAGCTTGGTTTGAAGAAATCAACTGTGGGAGCAATTATTAGGAAATGGAAGACATACAAGACCACTGATAATCTCCCTCGATCTGGGGCTCCACGCAAGATCTCACCCCGTGGGGTCAAAATGATCACAAGAACGGTGAGCAAAAATCCCAGAACCACACGGGGGGGACCTAGTGAATGACCTGCAGAGAGCTGGGACCAAAGTAATAAAGCCTACCATCAGTAACACACTACGCCGCCAGGGACTCAAATTCTGCAGTGCAGACGTGTCCCCCTGCTTAAGCCAGTGCATGTCCAGGCCCGTCTGAAGTTTGCTAGAGTGCATTTGGATGATCCAGAAGAGGATTGGGAGAATGTCATATGGTCAGATGAAACCAAAATATAACTTTTTGGTAAAAACTCAACTCGTCGTGTTTGGAGGACAAAGAATGCTGAGTTGCATCCAAAGAACACCATACCTACTGTGAAGCATGGGGGTGGAAACATCATGCTTTGGGGCTGTTTTTCTGCAAAGGGACCAGGACGACTGATCCGTGTAAAGGAAAGAATGAATGGGGCCATGTATCGTGAGATTTTGAGTGAAAACCTCCTTCCATCAGCAAGGGCATTGAAGATGAAACGTGGCTGGGTCTTTCAGCATGACAATGATCCCAAACACACCACCCGGGCAACGAAGGAGTGGCTTCGTAAGAAGCATTTCAAGATCCTGGAGTGGCCTAGCCAGTCTCCAGATCTCAACCCCATAGAAGATCTTTGGAGGGAGTTGAAAGTCCGTGTTGCCCAGCGACAGCCCCAAAACATCACTGCTCTAGAGGAGATCTGCATGGAGGAATGGGCCAAAATACCAGCAAGTGTGTGAAAACCTTGTGAAGACTTACAGAAAACGTTTGACCTGTGTCATTGCCAACAAAGGGTATATAACAAAGTATTGAGAAACTTTTGTTATTGACCAAATACTTATTTTCCACCATAATTTGCAAATAAATTCATAAAAAATCCTACAATGTGATTTTCTGGATTTTTTTTCTCATAATTGATCAATTGATTAACCGACAGACCACTCTGCTTTAGATAGTTACTACTCATTATGTTAAATAAATGAACTGCATGTGACAAAGGCATAATCCTTAGGCATGTCCTTATCCACTCTGTATTGTATTTCTGCACGTTCGGTGGCTGTTGCTGAATGTACCAAATATCCATAATTAATTGTTTTCACTATCTTTTTTAACTTTATACTGTATTTAAAACCATTTTGATAATGTTCTATTAAATGTGCTGCAAGGTTAGTTAACGTCAGGTCATTTACATTGATCATATCATTGGGTCATATTGACTCTCGTCTCCTGCCAACTCTGTGTTATCTTTCTGCTGCATTTAAAACGGCTGTTACTTACCGTACATATTTTGTTTCTTACTAATTATTAGCTGAGCGATTAAATGAAATTTAGTTTTCCCCCATTATTAAACAACGAATTGACCGACGTAGGTTCAATTACTTGAATTCCATTTAGTTTAGATTTTTTTGGTCAGTTCAACGCACCGTTTCTCTAGAGATAAATAAAAACAAGCAAGAGAGAAATCAGATCAAGAACAAACAGATGCCACAGGAAGTTTTTCCAACAGAAAAATATTCAACCTAGTTCAGCGCAGAAAAGTAGTAATTAACTACAATGCCCATAATCCATTGCGCCTGTACTGCCTTCCCTGTTACTCCCGGCCATATGCATGAGAGAGGCATGTACACAACACCGACAAGAGGGATAGAGACAGTTTGTGAGGTAGCTCTACACGATTGACAGTTGTAGTATTTGGTAATTAGCAGTCATGAAAGTGATTTGAAAGTGATTTTTTCATACAGCTCTACAGCATAGGCAGCTAGCTACTAGCCTAGCTAAATAGGATAACTTGTTGGGGAGAACAGAGATAATGTCAGATGGTTGTCTGGCTGGCTGCTACTGCTTGAGCAGAGATGAGATGTTGACTAACAAATGAAATAATAGGTAGTCATTAAAAATAAAAAGTAATAAGATAATAGAATGTTTTCAATGTTTTGGCAATTGGATGTTCTCAATAGTTGGCTTTGGAATATTCATTATATTCAATATTAATTATGTATTGTAAGGTTATCATTTAATGTATTTTTCTTTTTTAAACAAAAAATCAAAAACCTAAAAAAAAACACTAATCGCTCAGCTCTATTACTTCCACCATATCAGAGAGACTCTAGTAAACTACTGTATATTTATAAAGACAAATAAAACCAACATATTGAAAAACAAAAATACTCCTGTCCTTTGTATTCTTTGCCAAGGAACAACCGACTAACTGGGCTAATGATCTAATGCCATCTAAGCAGGATTAGGCAATGCTTTACCAACCACATGTCATCATTTACATTTACATTTTTTGGGGGGAATCTACATGTCATCACACCCCTGGCCTATAACATTTACATTTACATTTACGTAATTTGGCAGACGCTCTTAAACTCAACAGTTGAGTCTGATCTGCCCACAATGCTGACAACACTCCTGAAACATTCAACATTATTTGCATTAACTATCTTATGCAAGTGAGAGGCCAATATACAGTACACTCAACATAGTGAGTACGCTGCCTTTGCTACTGTACCCAGATCTACTGTACCGCTTATCCAATCAACATGTATGTAAATGTACATAGGTAAATAAACTTCAGAGCTCACAGCGTTTTCTACCACAGAATTAGGAATTAGAATACTAGAATGGACATGAACCTTCTTATGACAGCATAAAAGGTCAGCCATTTTGGTGAGTAGGTGAACCATAGTCAGCCAGTGCTGTGATAAGATAGTGTAAAACAATGCATTTGAAGATTATCTGCACTGTATGTTTGTTAGCTAGCTAGCTAGACAGGTTTAGTGGAATGATTGCAGTAGTTCTTCAAATTACAGTGAGGGAGAAAAGTATTTGATCCCCTGCTGATTTTGTACATTTGCCCACTGACAAAGAAATAATTAGTCTATAATTTTAATGGTAGGTTTATTTGAACAGTGAGAGACAGAATAACAACAAAATAATCCAGAAAAACGCATGTCAAAAATGTTATAAATTGATTTGCATTTTAATGAGGGAAATAAGTATTTCACCCCCTCTCAATCAGAAAGATTTCTGGCTCCCAGGTGTCTTTTATACAGGTAACGAGCTGAGATTAGGAGCACACTCTTAAAGGGAGTGCTCCTAATCTCAGTTTGTTACCTGTATAAAAGACACCTGTCCACAGAAGCAATCAATCAATCAGATTCCAAACTCTCCACCATGGCCAAGACCAAAGAGCTCTCCAAGGATGTCAGGGACAACATTGTAGACCTACACAAGGCTGGAATGGGCTACAAGACCATCGCCAAGCAGCTTGGTGAGAAGGTGACAACAGTTGGTGTGATTATTCACAAATGGAAGAAACACAAAATAACTGTCAATCTCCCTCTGCCTGGGGCTCCATGCAAGATCTCACCTCGTGGAATGATCATGAGAACGGTGAGGAATCAGCCCAGAACTACACGGGAGGATCTTGTCAATGATCTCAAGGCAGCTGGGACCATAGTCACCAAGAAAACAATTGGTAACACACTACGCCATGAAGGACTGAAATCCTGCAGAGCCCGCAAGTTTCCCCTGCTCAAGAAAGCACATATACAGGCCCGTCTGAAGTTTGCCAATGAACATCTGAATGATTCAGAGGAGAACTGGGTGAAAGTGTTGTGGTCAGATGAGACCAAAATCGAGCTCTTTGGCATCAACTCAACTCGCCGTGTTTGGAGGAGGAGGAATGCTGCCTATGACCCCAAGAACACCATCCCCACCGTCAAACATGGAGGTGGAAACATTATGCTTTGGGGGTGTTTTTCTGCTAAGGGGACAGGACAACTTCACTGCATCAAAGGGACGATGGACGGGGCCATGTACCGTCAAGTCTTGGGTGAGAACCTCCTTCCCTCAGCCAGGGCATTGAAAATGGGTTGTGGATGGGTATTCCAGCATGACAATGACCCAAAACACACGGCCAAGGCAACAAAGGAGTGGATCAAGAAGGAGCACATTAAGGTTCTGGAGTGGCCTAGCCAGTCTCCAGA